CCACCCTTTCTCAACTTTGGAGGGGATGAGGAGTCAACCCGAGCCATGGAAATTTTTCAACCCAGAGTGCTTTTACCTCTCTTTATAACCATCCTCAGCTGCATTGATTCTCCTGCTTGTGTTTCATTACCAGTCTTCACTCTGTAAGGGAGCTTCTATTTTCCAGAACACGCCTTCAAGAAAAATCTTGTGCCAAAGGAGTGGATATTTAAAGCTAGACAGATCATTCTCCACCCTCAAGGAGACTGCAGTCCAGAGAAATAAGCAAGTAGAAAGGCTTTCAATGAAAAGGGTTATCAGAAGACCAGGAAGCAGTTGCTGTGAGAGGGGTCCCACTGGACTTCACTCCTTCTAATCACTTTTCCTTTTCCTTTCTGACCCCCTGGTATCATATCATCTCCAAAAATCCCTGCCCTGCTTACTCTTTCTGATGTCTGCTTTATGACCCCTCTCTACTTACTCCATGTTGCTAAGAATTGCTGCAGAAAACAGTGAAACTGCTGCTTATGAACTGATGTCACTCACTCTCATTTATGTCCTCATGGTCTGAGCAGTTTTTGTAATTACCGATCTCTGCTATATTCTCCATGGTGACTTTTCAACACGTGAAGCCACCACCGGCCCCTCTCCCATCACTATTAACAGTGGTGATCAGATTATAGTTCCCATGATATTCCTCCTCCACAGTTCAGGACTTCTCCTTCATCATGTTTTCCAACTATTTTTCTATTTCTCAGGACTCCATCCCTGCCACAGACCCCTTCTCATACTTGCTCTGGGTATCTGAGAAGTCATCACCTGGGTCATTCCTTCTGGCTGTTTCTCCTTCCCGGCTATTGTCATTCTTGCCCCTTCACTGACTCTAACATCTGCTTAATAAACTTTGGTCTCTCCCACCAAGCACATGAAACAAAACTCAAAACCCAAATCCTGTTGCTTCTTTCTGAAACTGACAACTTTCTGAAAAGATTGGGGCACAACACTTTGTGGACCTCCATTTTTATATCACTACAGTAGTCCCCCATTACCCCCAGTTTTGCTTTCTATGATTCCAGTTACCCTCAATCAATCTGAAAATATTAAATGAAAAACTTCAGAAATAAACAATTTGTAAGCTTTAACTTGCTACATTCTGAGCAGCATGATGAAATATTATGCCTTTCCACACCATCCTTCCCAGGACATGAGTCATCCCTTTGTCCAGTGAATACCACTGGCCCATTAGTCACTTAGTAGGCATTTTGCTTATCAGTTTTGGTTCTTGTGTTCACATAACTTTTATTTTACTTAAAGATGGCCATGAGGCAGAAGAAGAGTGATGCTGGCTAGACAGATATGCCAAAGAGGAGCCATACAGTGCTTCCTTTGAGTGAAAAGATGAAAGTTCTAGATTTAATGAGAAAAGAAGAAAATTCATCTGCTGAGGTTGCTAAAATCTACAGTACAATATTTTGAGAGACCTCATTCACATAATCTTTATTACAGTATATTGTAACAACTGTTCTACTATTGTTATTCATCTCTTACTGTTCCTAATTTATAAACTAAACTTTACTGTAGGTCTGTGTAAAAAAAAATAGTACAAAAAAGGTTCAGTTCTGTCTGAGGTTTCAGGCACCCACTGGGTTTTAGAACATATCTCCTGGTTTCTTAGAACATATCTCCTGAAGATAAAAGACAGTACTGTAGTTCATCATTCCTAGGAATTTGCTTTCTGCTCCCATAATCTTACTCAATTTGCTCGCCGGATCATACAAGTGACATGTCATTTGCAGAACTCCATTGATTTTGTAGTTGACATCATCAGTCATTTGTTTATCTTAACACTGTATCTTCCTTGGCTCCAGACAATTCCTTAGCTCTGAACATTTTCCTACCTCTCATTCTCATGCCTCTTCTAGGGTCTCCCAAGTTCTAGAAGGTTCTAAAGTATACACTGTGTCAGAGGACAAAACACCCTTCAGGAGGGGGTCTAACTAGTCAGGATACAATAGAGTTTGGGCACCCAGGACTGAGCTCAAAGAACCAAATGAGGTAAATGTAATCCCAGGTCTTTAGAGAGCACCGAAATTTAAGTCAGGAGACCTAAATTCAGTTGGCAAGATAAAAGTACAGGAAAGGACCCAAATGGGAGATAGCCAAAGGTGACAAATGAGAAAAGAGGTAGAACAGGGGAGGGACATTATTGCCAGATGTTTTTGAATAAAGCTGAACTTGTCCTCAGTTGGCCTGCATAGGTCATCAGACTGGCTTAACAGTAAATCCAAGGAAGACAACAAAAAGTAAAAAATAGTGTACTTGTTCTCATACAATGCACACAAGTCTCAGTTTCTTCTGTGAAATGTGGATAACAGTAGTGCCCACCCCGTTGGGTAACTGAGGATTGACTTAAACCATGTGTATATAGAACTGAGTATAGTATAGGGCCTGTCATATGCAGGCCTTAGATGTTATTAATATTCAAACCTGCAAACTATATAAAAAAAGTATAGGGAAACTATCAAGTCATTCTGGCATCAAATTTAACTCTTAACTATTTAGCATACCCAGAAATGCCCTGTATTAGTTAATGCTGTAACAAAACTTTTAAAATAGGATATGTTGGTGTGTGTGTGTTGTACTTTTTTCTCCTTGCTGTACTACTAAAACAACTGTCTTCACTGTGATCACCAAAGGCAGTTTTCAGGACTTCATGATCTCTTTTTAGCTACTTTTGAACTATTTTCTAACCTTTCTTTTGAACTACTTTCCAACCTCTTAATACTTTCTTGCCCTTTAAATTCTAAGATATTACTTTGGTTTGGTTTTCTTCCTTCCTCCCTGACCAAGTTCTTTCTTTTTTTCTGAAATATTTTTTAGTTGTCAATAGACCTTTATTTTATTTATATGCAGTGCTAAGAATCCAACCCAGTGCCTCACACATGCTCGGCAGGCGCTCTACCACTAGCCATCACCCTAGCCCCTCCCTGACCAATTTCTTCCTCTCCAGGCAGGCTCCTCTCTGGCTCCCTTTAGAATTACATCCATTCTCTGGTTCATCCCTAATTTTTCATCCTTCCAAAGCCTTTCTAAAATGCTTTTCTACCAACATACACCTTTTGTCTTTGGGGTGGACTATTGCAATAGTGTAAATGATAATCTGGTTTCTACTTTTTGTCAATTCCAGGCCATCATGCTGCCACCAGATGGCCTTTTTTAAAGTCGAATATTTGTGAAAAGACCTGTTGCCTACAAGAAAAACTCCCATGCCTCAGCATTTCACACAGGCCCTTGCTTTTGCCCCCAATTGCTCCAACCTCCTTTCATCTTGTTCCACATGGAGATGTTCTCCATTGCACAAATTATAACACGTTCTTTCACAAGTCCCTGATTTCCCAGTCCTCTTCCTTGAATCACTTTCTTCTAGTTTCCAACTATTTCATACCCAGTTCCTTTATTCTGCATTTACCACATTGTATTTTAAATACCTATTTAAATGTCTATTCCTCTAGGAAAATATGAGCATCTCATGTATAGGGAAAGGCCCTTCTCTACAGTTCCTTTATCTAGTATCATAGACTAGATTCACAGACTTCATGGTGAGTAATCAACAAACATGAAAATGATTTTTTTTAAAGTCACAGTTTTAAAAATTTCTCCTTAGCTGGAAATGATTGAAAGGAAAAACATGCCAATTTGAGCTCTCAAGCTCACATCTCAAAGTAAACATGGATATTTTGAGGGACCAGAAGACAGATAAAGGCAGTAGTGCCAAGTATTTAGCATGTGGATTATCTTAGAACTTTGGAAGTTGTGTGATCATGACAGTGGATAAAACATATATGACCTTATCACCTCCCTCTATAAAATCTTTCAGCGACTTTTTAAAAACAAAGCTGCCTCCCTAATCTGGCCTATAAAAGCCTTTTAAAAACTTGCCTTTGTCCACTTGGTCTCATCTCACACTACTCTCTACCTTACTGTTTGAACTTTACCCAAACAAAACTTCTTTCCCAGTTCATTAAAAAACAAACAAACAAACAAAACAAAAACAGGTTACTCTGCCAGGAATGCCCTACCACCCCAAAATAGTCAGTTTTTTTTTTTTTGGGTGGGGGGGGGCTGGGTACTGGAGATTGAACCCAGGGATGCTGGACACCCACAGCTCTTTTTATTTTTTGAGACAGGATCTTGCTAAGTTGCTTAGGCTGGCCTCAAACTTGTGATCTTCCTCCCTCAGCCTCCCGAATCTAGTTGGTCTAATTTTTTGACTATCAGTCCAAGGATTCCTTAAGTCATCTCCATTACATGGTAGCAGAGTGTAAGGCCTCTCATCTCATTTTATTTGGAAAGCAACAGTTTTGTGACCATGGCTTACGGACTCAGTCTGGGTCTTTGGGCATACTTTTTAAATCTCTTTATGTCTTGGTTTCCTCACCTGTAAATAGCAGTTTATCTATCTCATAAGGCTGTTGAGGAGATTAAAGGATATAATTCCTGTTTGGCACTTAGAATTGTGCTGATATGTGGTTCCACGAGCCCAGCATGTCAATCATGATGACATTTACTAAGGTGTCAGTTCTCACGCTTCCTGGGCCAGACCTTGGAGTCCCCTTTCTCCTCTAGTCCAGGGACGCAGTCTGGTCCTTCTTCTGGTCTTAGACTCAGCACATAGTTCCTAACATAGCAGGTCTTTGATATATGATTTTTAAAAATAAATTAGCAAATGCCTTGCATCCAGCCTTTGCCTGACTAGCTAGACAGTCTCAGGTGATGCCTACTTGTAAGAGATTTCGTATAAAATAAAGCGATATATCTACAAAAGCACATGACACGTCTTAAAATGCCGTACAAACGGTACGTGTTTATTAAAAAAGCGGAGTTCGTGTCCTCCCTCCCCTCCGGCACGTCCCGTCCCCACCCCACTGTCCCCCAAGCCCACACCCTTACTGCGCCCTTGGCCCTGGGCCCCTCGGGATTGCAAGCGTGGGAGCCGCGGCCCCGCGCGGCTCCCTCCAACGACCCGCGCCCTCCTTCCTTCCTCGCCCGGACGGACGCACTTCCGGCGGATATGGGGGGGCCGGAAACGGAAGTGAGCAGCTGGGCCGACTGACGGTAACGAGGCTGAGCGGAGTTCCCTGAGCTGTGTGAAGATGGTGAGTGAGCCTCTCGGCCGCCCGAATTTCAGGCAGGCTCGGCCCCGTGGCCAGGCAGGAACAGGCCGCCACCTCTCAGCCTGTTCGTGACTGGCGGCGGTGGCCTGGGAACGAGGCCGGCCTCGTGCGCCAGGATCTGTCGAGTCACTGGATTGGGGCGGGCTGGGGCTGTCTGGGGCTGCCGGGCTCAGGCTCTTCCCGCGAGCAGCGGTTTGGCTTTATCTTATTCCTCTTGCTCCTCTGAGTTTTCCTATCGTTGGAAAGGGTAAACCCGAAAGAGCAACGTTTTGTGGCGTGTCACCTCCGACTATTCCTTTCCCTGAGGGATGACCTCTTTGAGCCCAGAGTCCTCCAACCTATCCCTCCTCTTCCCCGTCTTTTAACTGCTTGATAGCCAACCCACAATTATAGGTTGCAGTTGGACAAGTCAGCCTTACTTTACGTTTTTCCTAGTTCGTAGTATTCCATGTGTTGGAGGGAAGAATCAGAATCCGCTCTTGCCTCTCCTGTTTGCTCCCTGTTTCTCTTCTCTCTTACTTTCTCTTTCTCTTCTATGTAAAAGTTGTGATGTTTGGAAAGACTCCTGAAGCACCTTTGCCACTGACTCTGGTATCAGCAGTGCTGGTAGACCATTCAACCAAATCTAGAAAGCTCGTGTTGGTCAATATTGCTAATTAAAGAAGTTTGATAAACACACCCAGATTTAACTGGTTATTAGGTTTTCACCAGTTTGTTTTACTCTGCTATTTTATTAGAAATCTTAAATATTAATCCTGATATTTTAAAGAAAGGAATTGGAAAAAATGATCACAGTAGAATCCAGAAATTAGAATTCCTTTTCTTTGTGTATAGAAGAACTTTTCTTTAGTCACTTACCATAAAACAGTTTAGTAGTAGGAGAACTTCATGTAGGATAGTAATAGAAGCTAACATTTTTAAAGCTACAACCCTACAACTCTAGTCCAGGAATGAGTTCAGCTACCTAGTGGTGAAGGCCAGAGAAGTGTGTAGCTTTGCTAGCAGTCCCAAAGTAGATTAGTGAGGGTTCACACTAGATTCCATATTCTTTTCCTGATCTGTCTTGACTAACTCTATGTAGAAGAGTGGGAACCTCTTGTGCAGGTTTTGAATTCCAGGCTAAGTTCTGGACTTTTATTATTCAAACATTGATGAACCAATAAATTTTGTGTATGTGTGTGTGTTTGAATCAGTTTTGGTAGGGCAAATTGTGTGTGTTAGGAAAACCTTGTTATGCATATTTGGAAAATGGGTGAGCCTAAGCAGCAAGACCCAGTAGAGTATTGTTGGAATTATCTCTTATGAGAGCCTGGACAGGGGTGGAAGAATGAAAAACACTAAACAGGATAAAGTATCTGACCAAACAAGTATACAAATGAATTAAAAAGTCAGAAAGCTGGTTTCTCAGAATCGTTTCTCCTAATATAGGAAAAGATTAGATACCAAACTGCCTGTAGCTGTTTTGCATTTTTTTTCTGCAGAATTGCAGGAATATAAGCAACCAGTAATTTAAAGTCAGCATCTTGTGCTTTTCCTGCTGTAACATTTACTATGTTTTATTTTCTTGTTAATATATCTTCATTAGATGAAGCCCTGTGAGGTAGTTATGCTTCTTCAACATCTAGCACAGTACCTGGCCGAAATAGATACTAAAAAATATTTGGTAATTAAAAGTTTTATAGTACAAATATATAGGATGACAATATATCAGTTCCTAGTGCACTGTTTTTTTTCTTTTTAATTTTTTGTTTTACGCTATCCTGATTAGATAAAATTTTAAAATAGGTTATGTGTTCTTGTAGAAACTTTCTGAAATTCCCTTTTTCCTTTATCTTCTGTGACCACTTTTTTTTTTTTTTTTTTTTTTTTATCTGTGCTGTCTGTTCTTAATCCCATTTGTTTGTTCTTTGTCCTTAAGGAATGATATTCTCCAGAATTCTGTTCTCAACTTTTTCATTGGATGTTAAAATATTACAACCTAAGAGAGGGATCTCTTCATGAAAGCAAATCTGATCTATCATTTTTAGAGTAAATGGCTGTCTACGAATATGAGAGTAAAAGTCAACACAAGACTTTCCATTTTTAAATTTTGCTAGCCTTTGGTTCTGCCTCATATATATATTTAGCTAGTCATCTCAAACTGCTTTAGCTTGTTCATTTATATTTCCATCCCTTTAGCAGTGTTAACTTATTTTTTCATGGAATTATTTCTAATCCGTCAGTCTTCAGAGATCAAGTCAGGAGTCCTTTCCCAAATTTGTTATTACTTATTTACCTTGTATGTTCCTCTACCGTAATACTTAAGGCATATTCTAATTGTCTGGATTGTGGACTCTTCGAGGGTACAGTACTTAATCTTTTCTCTCTCCTGCTTAAAAAGGCTTTTTTTTTTTTTTTTAAATGGATGTTGTCTGTGAAAAAAATTATTTTGCCTTTAATGATGTTTTTGATTTGTGTTGTAGAATGCCAGAGGACTTGGATCTCAACTAAAAGACAGTATTCCAGTTTCAGAACTTTCAGCAAGTGGGCCTTTTGAAAGTCATGATCTTCTTCGGAAAGGGTACATGAGGGAATTGTGGCTTTAACTTTGTTGTAATTAAATGTTTCTCTGAATTATTTTCCACAAAATTCTTTAAATATTTTGATAGGTTATTAATGCATATTTAAATTGGGAGATAGCAAGTAATATACCTTAGATAGATGGGAAGGGAAAGAGGCTTAGATGTTTCCTATAGTTGAAGAAGCATCTTATTGGGGTAGCTTCCTAGCATAAGGCATCCTCTTAGTATGTTATCCAGTAGTGCTTTGGTAGAATTTTCTTTTTTCTTTCTTTGTTTTGTTTTTTTTTTACTGGTAACTTGGAGAGCAGTTTTTCTTCTTATTATTGGAGTAATTCACTTTTATTTGAGGCGTGCTAGAACATAGCAGTTAAGAGGATGAGTGGAAGACTCAGACTACCTAGATTTGTAACCCAACTGTGCTATTTAATGGATATATGCCTTTGGGTAGGTTACTTAATTGCTCTGTGTCCCAGTGTCCTCATCTATCCACTAGGCTAATCATAGTTTGTATCTTAATTTGAAAAGTAAATAAGTTAATACCTGAACAATATTTGAAGGATAAATAAGTTAATACCTGAAAAATACTTAAAACAGTACCTAACTTTAGTAAGCAATCAGTAAGCATTGGCTGCTGTTTTTTTTTCCCCCTAGCTTTAACTCACAGTTATGTCCCTTTGCACTTTATGTTTCTATGTATTTAAAATATGTTTAGATACATGTGTCTGGTAGTTGTTTTTCTTTGCAATTCACTTTACTGCTAAACCAAATAGGGTTATGCCTTCTCCTCCCATAAATATCCTGTGTTTTTGAATTTTTTTTAAATCTGATCTTAAGATTTTTGCTATTATGGTAGAATGGCATTCTTAAGCTTGTGTCTGGGGACATACATAATCTCTTATAATTTTGTAGCGAAAGATATAGTAGTGATAATAAAAACAATTTATTACATTCTTTCTAGACATAGAGCATTATTTAGCACCTTATTTTGGAGAATTACCTCTAGTGATTGAAGTCTCCACCAACAATGTCTATAATAAATATGTTTTAAAATAATTATGATATAGAATGTTTGGCTTTTTTCTTTTATTGTACAGTCATTTTAACATATTCGTCTGTTTCCATAACTATTACCAAAATATAGGACAGGTTTTCTCATAACATACTTTTATTGTGTGTATATGTGTATCTGTCTGTGTGTCTGTGTGTGTGTGTGTCCTTTCGTCCGTTCTTGGGGATCGAACTCTGGGCCTTGTGCATGCTAAGTACTCACTCTGACTGAGCTACACCCCAGCCATTTAGCATACTGTTATAGTAAGACCCTTGATAGATGCATTTTTGAACAGTGAGTAGTAAGTGAAGTAATCTTTTAAATATATTTTTTTCTTCCAGTTTTTCTTGTGTGAAAAATGAACTTTTGCCCAGTCATCCTCTTGAATTATCAGAAAAAAATGTAAGTATGTTACGTATGTCTTTAATTTTATCCTCTACTATATTACTGTTAGTAATATTTTGTGGTTTATTACAGTTCTGGTGAGGATTTGATAATGAGTCTTTATTTTTAATTTGCCTTCTAGGACAGACTTCTGAATTATCATTATATTGCTTCACTAAATCTCTCTTTCTACACATCCTCTTTTGTTTATTTTATGAATAAATCTAAAGAGTGGTCCATTTTTCCATTCCTCTCATAATTATTTTCTCATTTGAAAAACCTATTTTTTCCTTGCCATTTTTGCTGTTGCTAACTGAGTACTTTTCTCTAGTTTTGGCCTCTTTGTCAAGCCTAGCATTTCCAAATTACTGAGAGACATATCCATGAGGCACAGTGTACACAGATGGCTATGTCATAATTCCCATTCTTAAGAAACATAAAATTTAATAGGGAAGATAAGCAGTAGCTAGGAGGCTTCATAAAGTGCTAGAGAGGGCCAAGGATGCAACCACTTCTGCTTAGGGATTTTGGAAGGCTTTATATAGGAGGGGCCTTTGAACAGTTTAGGTTGGTGTTCACCAGGTACTTGAATGGGAAAAGGTCACTCCCAAAGAGGGAATGGCATGTACAATGATCTAAAGGCAGCTTAAGGAGTTTTTAAATATACATTTAGGATAAGAAAACTGTATCTCAGTACTGGGGAATATGATACAGTGTCACCTAGGTAACAGATTATTTATTCCTTTTTTTCTTCTTCCTCTTTAGCAAGGGAAAAAATCTTATTATAAGAAAAAGTTGAGCACCTGATAGAATTATGAAATAGAGGTTCAAATATGAGAAAATAGAACTCCTATTTGCTTTTAATGCATCAGGTTTTAGGTTCAGAAGTTAACAGTCCATATATAATTATCATTATTATATTGCTTTACTAAATCTTAATCAGAGTAGACTTAAAAGCGTGTGAGTATGATTATGAAACCATAGTGGATCATAATGGAGAAGTGAAAATTGCCTTTAGACCAAAGATGGATAAATATCCCACTTTTCTAAGAGATCTAATCAAAAGTAGTTTGTGGCAAAATTGATCCCTGGCACTGTTCTTAAGTAGACTGTTTAGTAGATAACTGAGAACATTTGGTCCAGTAAACAGTGATCATTACTCACAACAAGTTAATCTTTGTTCATTTTTTTATTAAATTACCAAGTGGGTCAGTCAAAGGATCAAATTATCCTACCTGGGATAAACTTGAGGATAAGGTGGTAGATTATGGACTGAGTGTTTTTGGTTGGTAACTACCCAGACTGCGATGACTGAGGAATTATCATTTTAGAGGGAGCATTTGGTAGACATGTTGTCCTCTGTGTGCATCTTAGGTAGTTTAGTGAACACTTAGGAAGGCTAAGTGTTTTACAGAGACTTGAAGGTAGCCATAAAAAGCATGTAAATTGGATTTTAGGGAAAAGAAATTGCTTACATGGGTAGTTCATTTTGATGAATTATTGAATTGTATCGTGGAGGCAATATAAAGCAAAAGGCTAGGTCAAAACTTTAAGAAAAATATTTATAGTGGTGAGTGTAAAGTTCTGCATTTGGGTTTTACACATTATTGTATTATTATGTAAAACCTGATAATTTTAATTGACTATGTGCTCAGTATAAGCCAGCAGGTTGCATTAGTTCTGAAAAGAACATTTTTACTGACCTCTATTAATAATAAGACAAGGCTCAAATTCAGGGAGATTATATTCTCACTTTCCTACACATTAGTCTGACCATTTGATCTGCAATATTGGTTCTGTTCTGAGCAATACATGTTAAGAGACACTTTGACAAATCTGATGAGACTGGCCAAAATGGTGAAGAGTCTAGAAGCTTCTTAGGTCTTTGGAGACTCAGCTTAGGTCTTCTTTGTATTTTTCTTTAATCACTTGTCCATTTTATGACTGACTGTCTTCTCTTCATCCCCTCTCTAGAAATTTTTTGGTACTTGTTATCTGTTGAAGTTCTTTAGCATGGGTTGTGTAGTTGAACTATATTGGCATCATGCTTATTAACCAAACTTGGACAAATTGCTTAATCACTCTTAAGTTTTGGTCTCCTCATCTGTAAAAGGGAGTTAGGAATGGTCTTTTCCTTGGCATTTTGTTATCCTCTAGCAGCTCTCCATAATTGGAGCTGCAGTGGTGATAGTGATAATTCACCCTTATTGTTTTTACCAGTGATTTTCAGGGATAGAGGGATTTTGCATCTTAGTTTCAGATGGTAATGTCAGAAAATGTTTTTTGTCCTTATAGATGGCATGGCTGTAGGGGATTGTTAACACTGGTGTCTTTTGGGTAGAGGTCAAGGATGCTGCCAAATATTCTATAGTGCATAGGTCAGTCCCTAAAACAAAGAATTATTTGACCCATGATGTCAGTAGTGGTGTCTTCTGTTTTATTATGTTATCACCATAAAACCTAAATTTGCACATGCTTGTTATTTATGTGTTGATTGATAATTACATTTTTAAAAATTTTATTCTCTTTAGATACACATGATGGTAAAGTATATTTTGACATATAATACATACGTGGAGTATATCTTATTGATAATTGCATTTTAACATCACATAACAAGTTGGATGCATTCACCAGAATATATATAAGTTAATTTTTTTTGCATGAAATTATATTTATTTATCATGAGGGTAACTTTAAAGAAAACCCTTCAGATTATATCATAAAATACCCCTTTCCCTAAGGACCGTCTGAAAATTTTGCTTTGTCAAGCTGACGTAATTTAAAACAGTATTGTTAGATACCTTATTTTTCACATTTTCGTATTTGTGGCCCCCAGTCATGCCCCAAATAAACACTGATCTCTCAATAGATTTTTGATGAATATGATTTTTTTATGATTATTAGAAACAAATCTTCCAAGAGAGTATAGTATAATAAAAAACAATCACAAGAATTCACTTTGTCTCATAATTACATTCAGAATTTTGCAGCAGTCTGTTTGCATATTTTATTCACTATCCTTAAGAACCACTTTGGAAAACCATGTTTTAGATCCAGAGTCATGTTAATTTTTTCTGAGGCATATTAAATTAGGATCAAGTTTTCTTAATATCAGTGCTTAATAAAAATAGAGTTCTAGGAAAAATAAAATTGCTGATTAGTAACCAGTACAAATTGAATAGCCTTTTAGAGGTACACCCCAGTGGAATTTATTTTTTAAATTTGTCCTAATTAGTTATACATGACAGAAGAATGCAGCATTTTGATTCATTGTACACAAATGGAGCACAACTTTTCATTTCTCTGGTTATACACTATGTAGAGTTGCACCATATGAGCAGTCATACATGTACCTAGGGTAATGATGTTCTTCTCATTCCACCATCTTTTCTGCCCCCCTCCCCTGTAATTTAAATATTGAAATTTAATTAACATTTTACAATTTGTGATTATTTATTTTATTGAAATCCTTTGAAATAATATACTTTCGTGCTTAGAAATTCACTATTAAGTTTGTCGTGTATGTGACAGTTTCTGGATCTCAAGCTTATTTACATATTTTCTTTGCTCTACCAGTTTTGCGATACTCCTAATCAAAAGTACTGAAATATAATTATGTCTTATAAGTATCCTTTTGCAATGTGAAAAACATTGCTTAATTTATAAGTTTTGTAAATCTAAAATTTAGGTAATAATTTTACACTGGTGAAGACTACCTGTAAGGTAGATAAGATACTCAGAAATGTTCGAAAATTAGAAGAAACTAGTTAAAGCACTTTGTTTTAATTTTAGTTATGAATATTAAAATCTTTCTTCCAAATGTTTTGTTGTATATGTATCAATGCTGTTTTGAAAGCAGAGTATTGAGTGTAACGTTGTTTTTTGTAGTTCCAGCTCAACCAAGATAAAATGAATTTTTCCACACTGAGAAACATCCAAGGTCTATTTGCTCCTCTAAAATTACAAATGGAATTTAAAGCAGTGCAGCAGGTGAGTTTATGGAGCTTAGTTATGTTTTGTCTAAGACATGTTGACACCAGTCAAAAGACTCCTCGGTTTTCACAATAGCAGTGCAAGCATTACTTTCCTTATTCCCTTATAACCTATTCTGCTTCCCCTTTTTTAGGGTAGAAACTTAATTCCTCCATCATAAAGGAAAAAAGAGTTCATTAAACAGAAAACTGCCTTAACTTACAGGCTCAGTATCTGAAAACTTACCTGCATCTACTGTTCATGTTTTTCTGCTTTTTATGGGTTATGTTGAATTTGAGATTCTGGGGAATATCCAACTGATAGTATTGAGTATGTTTATAGCAGGGTATAACTGTTGAAAAGGAAAAAATTACTTCCTTCCAATTGTGTAAGAACTGCCCCCTACTTGTGTTCTGGATTATATCAAATCATTCTACTTCAGAGAAATCCCTTTCTGTAGTTGATACATTCAACCTCTCTTTCTTCTTGCTGTCTCATCAACAGCATTTACATATATTCAAAATCTCTTTTGTCTTTTAAAATAAAACAAAATATATCAGTACCACATTCCTTCATAGAAACTTATGTTTGCTTCTGCAAATTGAATTTTTTGAAAAAGTTGCCGAGGTTACCTGTATGTGGCCCTTTTAACTCCTATTCATTCAACCCACTGTATTCTGACTCATTACACTAGAAAAATTGGTTCCTGAGCATTGGGGATGTTGTTTTGCTGTAATTTGATTTGCACTCTCAGTAGTATTTGAACCTCATGGCTTTTTGGCCTTTAAGAATGCCACATTTTCATGATGTTCCTCTCCTCTCTGAAATCTCATTCTCAGGTTTCTCTGTAGATTCCTTTGTTTTATCTGTTCCCTGAAATGCCAATTTTATTAGTACCCCATCTTTGGTCCTCTCCTCACTCTATTTTCTACCTATTCCTATTGCTTTAGTTATTTACATGCTAATGACTCCTAAGTTATAATTCTTATGAGCTATAAACCTACCCCCTTTTCCAATTGGAAGCCCTACAGGTGCCTCAAATTTCACATGTATAAATACAGAATAACTCATTATTCCTTGGATACTCCTTATCACATGGATAGATTTCTGCCTAGGGCAGAAATTGAAGTATTAGCCTTGATTATCTCAGCACCTCATCCCCAACTCCTTCACCCCCACTTCCCCCAAACAGCCAGTGCATTACATGATCTTCTCACCATATCTACTATGCTGATTTCTTTTGTTATTTATTTGGTACTGGGTATTTAAACCAGGGGCACTTTACCACTGAGCCACATCTCCATCCCTTTTTATGTTTTATTTTGAGATGGGGTCTCGTAAGTTGCTGAGGCTGGCTTTGAACTTGCTGTTCTCCTGCTTCAGCCTCCTGACTCTGGAATTATAGTTATGTGCCAGCTTCTGTGCTAACTCTTAACCTGCAGTGCCTCATCCAGAGTACTGTAACACTCATCCTGCTGCCCCTCAAACATATTCACACTGTAGCCAGAATAAGCTTTGTAAAACAAATTTGATTGTGTTACTCCCCTTACTTTGCCCTTAAAATAAAACTCAGTGCCTTAATGTGACTTGTTCATGAATTGACTTCTTCAAACCATAGTCCACACTCTCCTAAGCTACTTGAAATTCCTTAATTATGTTCTTTGACCTTTTGGCTTTTGCATGTGTTTTCTTATTCATATAGATTCCTTTCTCAGACATAGCAAAAATTGTGTCCTTTTCAATAAATTTTGTCAGTGGCATCAATTATATCGGCTAAGTTATTCTCGAAGCTACTTGGAATACTTTTTACCAAGAATAAAGCTCTAAAAAGAGCAAGGCTTTAAATCAAATTAATTTGGGTCTGAATCTTGGTGTGCTACCTTTTAGTCTTAAAAATTCAAGTAAGTTGGAGGCCTTTTGTAAACCCAGTGTTCTTTGATTTTTTTGGATTAGTTTTTAATGTGAAATGGAGAGAGCAATAAGAATAATATTGGGTTATTCTGAAGATTAAATGAAATAATGTATGTTTGGCATAGAATTTTTCACTTTTCTTATTTAATATTACTCAGGTTTCAACTACGTATTGCTCATGTTTGGGCCCAAGTTTTTTAAGACCATTTAATCCAAAATATTCTCCTAGAATTTCAACTTATTTTTTTTTTGAACCCTATACTTTTGTAGTTCCTGCTTATCAAGATACATAATGACTCATCCCTCTTTTTGATGCCTTCTTAGGACTCTACCTCTAATCTAACTACCTGCCAGATGCTTTGCTCATAGCTTAATTTATAGGCACCCATTTCTGTTTCTTCTTCCTCTCCTTCCTCTTTTCTCCCCACTTTCCTTTAATCTTTTTGGTTTGACAGTCTAGAGAATTTTTTTCCACAGTATAAAGACCTAAATGATTTTATAGGCCATTAGTAATTGAAGAGCATTAATGTCCTCAGTCTGGATATATGTTTTGGGAGGAAAAGTGATTATAACTGCCTCCTTAGATTCTGAATGTATAATTGTTTTAAAAATCCTACTGTCATTAGTCATTAACTGTCTATTTTTTTAAAATATTTTTTAGTTGTCAGTAGACCTTTATTTTATTTATATATGGGGCTGAGAATCGAACCCAGTTCCTTGCACATGCTAGGCAGGTGCTGTACCACTGAGCCACCACCCCAGCCCCCTATTATGCCTTCTTTTTTAAAAAATTTATTTATTCTAAGTTGTGCCTATTACTCTTTTGGTAGTCTTTTGGCAATATCCAAAAATATCTGCACTGATCAGTTACAACTGCTGGACAACTAACAAGAACAAAGACTGAAAATTTGGTTTGGCTACATTAAAGTTTGTTAAGTTTTGAATGAGAAAACTGAGGCTGGAATGGGTCAGATAACTTGCACAAAGCTATATGATTGCTTAGGTGATAAAATCAGAATTTGAATCAATGGCATTCTTCTTCCAAGCCCCGTGCTTTCTCCATTATATTGTACTTAGGTACCAGTCTATGGTATATGTATTTAATACTTGGAAAAAAAGAGATCACATTGGTTCAGAAAGACATCATATTTTGAAAGGCTTCACAAATGACTTTGGTTGACATTTCTGGTTACCACCACTATTTGAAAGGGATATACCTAATATTTGTACTATGAGTTGTACAAAACAACATATAAAATGAAATAATTCATTTAGCATTACTTCATTTTATATTATTTCATATAATAATATAAAATTATTATTATTTTTTTGAATTGGAATTTGTTCAGGATTGTGATCATCCCATATGTATCAGGAACAAAGCAAGGTGTTAAGCTCTGGGATTTTTCATCGTATCTTGTCAGACATGCTGTAGTTTTTCTGGACACTAACCAAACTTCAAAATGTGTAAACCTGATGGGATAAAGTGTTAATATAAGCTACAATTTCCATATCTTGACATATTTTGAAAAGAGCTCTGAGGAATTTTTAAGAACTTGGTTTGTACTAAAACATGAAGTGTTTTTTTTTTTGTTGTTTTTTTTTCCCACCTTCACTGGTTAAATTTGCTACTTTACTTAGTTTTGTGAACTTTTCAAATAAAGAGTGAAGAGTATGAAATCAAATAATACATTTTGGCTTTTTCCCTTGTTTTTCTCCTAATTTTGCTCTTTCCTGCTTTTCCCAAAGGTTCAGCGTCTTCCATTTCTTTCAAGCTCAAATCTTTCTCTGGATATTTTGAGGGGTAATGATGAGACTATTGGATTTGAAGATATTCTTAATGGTAAGTGTCATTCAGCATCTTTTTGTGGAGCTCTGTAATATACAAGCTGACAACAGCAAACAAAACAGTATCCTTCGTGTTCATAGAGTTTACATCAGTTGAATTCACTTGTTCTTATTCACAGCAGGAAGGTAAAATTTAATGGTAATAACTGTCCTTAAATAGTGTTAAAGTGAAAATTATTCACGTGAATTTTGTGATTATACTGGTTATAACCATTTCAGTCAAGATAAACATTCCGTGTCCTGAGAATCAAGTTTGCTATGTTTGTGTCATACAGTAGTTTGGTGGCTTAAACAATGATAGTTGTTTCAGTTTTCATAGCATTTGTGGGATGTAACTAGTTTTGTGTTTCATTAGGTGGTGAGGAGAGTGTCATTCTTAACAAAATTTCCTAAATGATTATATTACAAGTGAGATTAATGACTTAACTAAGAAAAGTGTGAGGAGTATTCTCTATTTTTTTCTGGTCCTGAGGAAGATAAACAAATAGAATCTTGTGTAGTACTGCCTCTGCTCTTTAAGCCCCAGCAGTACAGAAGAAACAGAAAAACAGTTTTGCTTGGCTGTTTATGTCCGGTAAGGAAATGCTGTGGACACAACAGAAGTCTAGTGAGCCTCTTTGAGAATCTTCCCTGAGGGAACTTTTTGAATGCAGGAAACCTGGATCCTTAAGCTTATTTGAAACTAGTATGGTGGTAGGTCTGTATATTAACTTTTGTTTACTTACAAAAATATATTCATTTGAAAATCTGCTTCTGTAATTGTGTACAAAGAAAGGAAGAAGAACTTAAGATTTATTCAGTCAATTGAATATATGTCAGGCATTGGGCTATGCTCAATATACAATGGTGAACAAAATAGATATCTTTCTAACGGAGGAGGCAAATGTTAAGCAGAAAAAACTGGCATAAAATTAGAAAATTGTGATAAATTCTGGGACTATGACACACAAGTTAATTCTGAAAGATATATGGATTAGTTGAGTTAAAAGGAGAGGAAAGACTTTAGGCAGAAGAAATAATATGTCCAGGGTCTCTGAAGAGTTTGAAATTTTAACTACTTAGAAGCTAACAAGTTAGCCTGCCATGGTTTCATGGCCACTGGCAGAATACACCAGACTCTTGGAAACAAAGGACAATTTATTACTCGTAGCAATAGTGGTAGCCGAGTATCAGCATTTCTGTTGGTTTCCCACTTCCCACAGGGAAACATGAAAAGAGAGGGTCAGGCAGTCTATATAAATCGTGTATTTTATTTCTGGAGAGGAACTCCATTTTCAGAGTACCTGAATCTTACAGTGGACAATAAATCTGCCCGTTCTGTGCTCCTCTGTGCTCCTGTGCTTCACTTTAGAAACAGCCTTGAAGAGTCCAGAGCAATGGCAATATCTGTGCTCCCAGGGATTGCAGAGTTGTGAGAGACCAATTGAGAGTTGTTTCCTAGCACACTTGAGAGCTCTGTAAGAAGAATCTCATGACTGAAGTGTTTTGGAGCAAAATAGAGTGGAATAAGGCAAGGTCTTTGACCTAGAGAGGGAACAGATAAGCCAAGGCCTACAGACCATAAACAGAAGTCTGGAGTTTATTCAGATTGCAGCTCAAAGCCATTGAATGGTTTTAAGCAGAGGTGAATTGTGATATAATTTCATGTTTACAAAGGTCACTAACTATCTGGTGGGCATCTCACTTAATTCATTCCTTGCATCTGTCTAAGGTAGATGTTAAGCTGGAAAGATCCCTCCTTGATTTTTATCACAATGAGACTACTACGTTGCCCTTTGAGTGGTTTCCCTTTTGTGGGTAACTGTATAAGATACAGGTAACTTAGAACTTAGAACCTTGCATTAGCTCTTCCTTCTGCTTAGAATATTTTTTTCCTCCTCATTTTTCAGATTTTTTTTTTTCATTTTTAATGTCACTTCTTCAGAGAGGTTTTCCTTGACTACCTAAGGTGTCCCCATTCTCTTTGTCATCTCACCGTATATTAATAATTTGTATAGTATTTCCTTGATATTTTTCTTTTTTATTTGTAAAGTGCTTGTTCCATAGTAAGTGTTTAAAGCTCTTCCATATGCACCACATTCTCATCATCAATTCTGACTTAGAATATAGTTTTAGGTCTACAATGAGGAAGTAGTTTGTTAATCTAAGCACTGTGTGAAGTCTGTTAGAGTATTAGAGATGATGAAATTTTTGTTTATTCCTCAGTGAAATGCTCCAAGAAAATTCTCTACATTTTATCAGGAGGGTACTATTAAAGTCAAAAGTAGGCTTACTCTTAGTGCCAGAAAGTGCCTTTCATTCACTCTAGTCCCTTTCACTTTAAGATGAGTAAACTGAGGCTCATGGGGAGTTTTGGTCCTTCCTCAGACTTACAAGTAAGCTCATAGGATAAAACTGCTAGAATCACCTTGTATACCTTGTTTTCATAGTGTGCAAGTGATAGCTCATTCTTTGTAATGAAAGTCACAAGTTTAAAAGTAAGTAAAGTTTAAAAGAAAGTTGTGGATGGGAGGGAGGGGAGGGGAGGGGGGATAGTAGAGGATAGGAAAGGCAACAGAATACAACAGACACTAGTATGGCAGTATGAAAAACATGGATGTGTAACCGATGTGATTCTGCAATCTGTGTACGGGGTAAAAATGGGAGTTCATAACCCACTTGAATCAAATGTATGAAATATGTCAAGAACTATGTAATGTTTTGAACAACTAATAATAAAAATAATAATAATAAAGAACTAACACTTTTATAGAACTTAAAAAAAAGTTGTGGTTAAATAAATGAATGTTCTCTGCTCAAGAATTTAAAGCTTTTCTTCTGAAACTCAGATTTTTCATGATTATCCAGATCCCATTTCTTTGCCTCATTCCTTAGTTACCTGTTGTTTTAGTTACTATATCCTTTAAGAGTTTTTTCCGGTGTCTACTTAGAAATATATAGTCAGAAAATACTTGGCATTGCTTTGTGTTTACCTTTTTTTTTTTTTTCTTTTTTTAATACAGTTAGTATCATGCTATGTATATCTTAAAGTATATATTGTGTATTTCTCTCTTATTTTTATTATTTCTTATTTTTTTCCTCATTCATTAACACAAAACTATGCTTTATACTCTTGTGCAGGTATCTTTTTAAAAGTTTTATATTTTGAATGCTTGCTATGTATAAAGCAGTTTATTACTAATAATCAGGGCATTGTCAGTTGTTACTAAGGCTGCTTTTGTGACGGGACAGGTTGTGGAGAGTATTGACTGCTGAACTGATGTGATACAATAATTTTCAGTCTCTTAGGTAGTCCACTAAGGAAACTTCAACAGTGGTTATACTGAATGGCAATTCTTTTTTAAGAATCTTGAAAAAGGAGAACTTTTCAACCTGTTTTTTTCTTTTAAAATAAGCTATATTGAGATGTACTTGACATGCCATCACATGCACCTGTTTTTAAGTGTACAGTCCTATGGATTTCAATAAGTGCATACAGCTAGGTTCCCCCAATCAAGCTATAGAATGTTTTCATTATCCCAAAAAGTTACCTTGGTCCCTTTGCAGTCAGTCATCGAACCTTGACCCCAGGCAACCACTGTTCTGTTTTCTGTCACTTTGAATTAGTTTTGACTGTTCTTGATTTTCATGAGAGTGAAATAATTGAATTTATCTTTTTTTGATGACATTTTTAAATGTTTGTTTTTGTTTGCTTTCAGATCCATCTCAAAGTGAACTAATGGGCGAACCACATTTAATGGTGGAATATAAACTTGGTTTACTGTAAGATAGTTTGCCGTTCATGGATCAGAGGGGCTACATCTTGTTATAGTTGGTTTTTGTTATAATTCAATGTATACAATATTAAAAGTACTGACACATGAGATTCTGCCTAAATAGTATCATGATTATTTGAAATTATCGTGTCTTTGATTTATGACCGTGTGACAGTTGAAAGCACTAAAGGAAGATGATTTTAAAGTTCCTAATTTATAGTAAAACCATAGCATTATTTGTCATTCAAAATTATTTTTCAGGAATATTATAAATTGTCAACAGGTTCTAATTTAACTTACTTTGTAGATATTCCATAAGTTTAATTTTTTAAAATAACCAGTATCAATATTTCAGTCTACCAACTTCATAGCAACATCTTTCAGAATAAACATTTGTAATTAATTTCAATAATAGCACTTCAAATTGAGTATGGAAGATATTTATCATGTTTTATTATAGTCTGTGAGAAGAATATTTGTTACATTGATGGTATTTTAGAATTACAGCCATGAGATTCTTTTATGATGAAAAGTGTAATTTCAGGGGTTTTGATTTTGTCTTTGAGTGAAAAATTAAAGCAACCAGCAAATGTAGATTGAACTCATGTACTTCATGGATTTAATATGTATTTGATATATGAGCAAGCAACACTCTTTAAAGGAAGTAAGACTCATTTTTATACACGTTATGCATCCCTGAACAAATTTCATAATAATTTTTTAAACAGTTTTCACCATGATTACTCTAAAGTATTCTTTATGAACCTGCTATATAAAAATTAAAGATTTTTAGAACATTAGTGCATGGGTCATTTTTCACTAATTCTAAAATATGTTTTGATTAGTTTTTTTCAGAAAATCTTTTAAAATAATTATTGATTTAAAACATTCATCAATATTTAGAGACATTTGTGGTCTCACAACTTTAGGTGGGTTGCTACTGGCATCTAGTGGGTAGGAGCCGGGAACACAGCTATCCTAGAATGCATAGGACATTAATTTATGATCATGTAACAAACTGAAGACACTAGGGAAATGAGTTTAAAACTCAATTTTTATTAAAACAGTAGTCTTCCATGTCTTTAAAAAAAATTACCAGTGAATATTCTAGAATTTTCTGCATCTACTGTTTACTCTCTGCAACCAAAATTTATTTAGTTGGAAATGTTAGTAGTGCCAAGGTTGGCAAAACTTGAGATAAATCAGATGGTACATTTAAAAAAATCTCTCTTGCTCTGGCTATTGAGATTAAACTTAAAATTGTCTTTGCCAATTGCTCTATTTATAAATAATGAAATTATAGAAACAACAAAGATTCACTAATTAATTATTTCTAGATATGTTTACTTTTACCTACAAGTTGGAGATTTCTGTTCCCTTGTTGTAGGAATAATATTCATTCCCCTCCTGACCAGTAGAGGGCATATGAAATTAATGAGATAGTTTGAAAGGAAAATCTGAAGTTTTAAATTTAGGAAGTGGTACTCTTGGATAGTGCTTACTTTCCGATGATCTTTTTGCTTCCTCTCTCCTTTTCCTCTTTTACCTGCTTTATTTTTATGTCAGTGATTCTCATTCCTGAATGCATGTAACAGCTAGGAATCTTGAAAAAATTTTGATGTCAGGATCTGGATTTCACAAATTCTAAGAGGACTAGTCTAGAGTGGATCCTAAGAAGCATATTTTTGAGACACTCTTCAGGGTACTTGCTTTCTTTTTTTTTTACTTGCTTTCCCTTCTTACTAGTATGAGCTATTGAGAAGTTTTCTAGTGTTTCTTAATCTGCAGTCTACAGTGAGAAATTATTTGGATTCCTTCGAAGGCAATTGCAGGTCCCTCCAAGTTACCTTCAAACTTTTCAGTTAGGTATTTTTTTTCTTTTAGATGTTATGATTTTTCTTGGAGAATTAGTTTAGTATTTCCCTTAAAAATCCTTTTAATACATATGAGAACAAAGACGTTGATAGGTTTTACCATCTGGAAGTATTGAGGGGTTGGCACGTATTGAGAATTATTTGGCACAGCATCGTATGACTCTTTGACCAAAACCACCTCTGCATTCTTGCCTCTGTACAAAATATAAATAATAGGCTTATTACTCTTCATTAATTTTGCCCTTTGCTGTGGATGATACCCTTTTTAGTAGGATGAACAAATATTTAGCCTACTGTTCTTTATTTTATTATTCCTTTGAATGCAGATATTAAAAAAATGTAAAATATGATCTGAAAACATTATTAGGAAAGATGAAACAATTCTGTGATATATCTTAAATCTACAACTGGATAAGTTTTTTTTCAGATACATGAAATATAAACAAGTTTTGACTTGCTGTTTTTTAATAAAGGAAAACCAAAAAATGCTGCTATTCTTCATTGTGTTTAGTTCATGATTTTGAAATTTAAATTCATTTCTTTCTGTGTAATAAATGCTTTTGTCTTATTATAGATCCTTAAAGAATGAGAGCATACTGTTAGTTTTTCAAATAGAATTTCCCTAGGTTTTCCCCTCCCACCCCAAGTCAAAAAGTATAAGGGACTTTAAAACTTTTAAAAATGAAGGATCAAGTTTTGAAAGTTTAGAGTTTACGTCCAGATCTTAATTTATTTCTGAGCCAGAGGACGTGCTCTGTCAGCTGTACTTTGTCCTTTTACTTCTTTCTGGTGTCATGACCTAATGGGAGACAGGAAAAAGCTATATTGTTCATGGCTGTGACAAAATAAAGGTCACATAGGGGATATGGGTTTGGGTCAGTGGATGATCCGGTAGAATTCTGTTTTAACTTTGTCTGCACTTATTTATTTTTGGAAAGATTAATTAATTTTACCACCAAGACATATATCACACTTTTTGTTTGTTTACTGTGCTACATAGAAATCTTGTAAAACCTAAATGAATTTTTTCATCAACTGTATTAATTCTGAAAGAACACCCACATAACCTCCATGTTGATTTACCAGTTGTTAATGTATTGTCTTACTTCCTCATATGTAGATTGAGGATAAACATTTTTGGCAACAAGTCCACAAAGGCAGCAGTAAGTAAATACTCTTACTGCATCACATCATAAGTCCCACTTGATGATGCTGAATTTAACAGGTGGTGGCTATCAGCTTTCCATTATAAAAATAGTTTTCCTTTTGTAATTAGTAAATAATCTGTGGAGTAATAGTTAGATATTCTTTTCCCCAAGAACTTTTTGTTGTTGTTCTAATTAGTTCCCCCAGAACTTTGACACAGAGGTTTTTAGTGTCCATGAAAATTTTTTTCTCCAATTATTTATCATATGATCATGAGGGTCAAGAGGGCTGCAGAATCCTGATATTTTATTATTTCTTCTCGTATTGGCTGACAAGTTTTTGTAAAGCAAAGTTTTCCATATTTCCTCTTTCTGAAGTATCTTTCTATATTCATGGATTCTTATTTAATGTTTAAAATCTGTTTCTATCAATACCCTTTTGATGCACTAAACCTAATCATTACAATGAACAGTAATGCTTTAAAAAGAAAATTATAATAGTGTACAAGTGCTAAATTTAATTTTTAGCATTATTGTTATTTTACAGATTATATTTTATTGAGATATTTTAGTTACCTTAATTAGTTGTCAAGGGTGTTATAACCAAAAAAATATCTATTTTGATCTTAGGGGATCCAGGGCTGACCTTAACTACTGATGTTCTGCCAGATCATGAGAGACTGCAGAGACCTGGTCAAGCAGGCTGTGACTTGCTCTATTCTATACACAGTTTCAAAGGCACCATAGTATTATAGTTTTAGGGATGACAGGAAACTGATAAGGCACACGAAATAAATAGTACACATTTGGTCTTTTAATACTTAAAATGAAAATTTTCAATTATCTAAAAATAAATAAAAATATATACTATAATCCTATCTCCCCGTCATCTAGCTTCAATAATATACTCAGGGTTAATCTTACTCCATCCACATTTTTTTCACCCATTTTCCCTCTCAAAGGTATTTTGAAAGAAATTCTAGACATCATTTCTACAGGAAATATTTCAATTTATAACATTAACATAACCACAAAACTATTATACCTAAATTAACAATAATTCCTTAGAGTCAAATACCCAGTGTCCAAATTTCTCATGGTCTAATAAGGCTGTTTTGTTTGCATCAAATTCCGAGCAACAGCCACACATTATGATTGGATTTTGTGCTGTCTTTTATAGGTTCTCTTTCACTTCATGCTAGTTGTTGAAGACACCAAGTTGTAGGACTTTCTACAGTATAGATTTTGCTGTTTGTAATCTTTGTGATACAGTTGAACTTGTTCCTCTCTTCTGTAATTCCTGTAAATTGCTAGTTGAATCTATAGGCTTGATTAGGTTCAGGCTCATTATTTTTGGAAACATCACCTCATTTGGACGTGTGTTCTTCCCTAAGATACCTAATACCTAACCATCTCTCATTTTGTGATATTGGTGGCTGTTGACATATTACAACATATAGATCCAAATGGGCTTGCAAAACAGTGATTCTAAATCTATCATTTCTTTTCTGCCAGAATACTTCTTTAATTTTCCTATTACGTACTATTTGCTTACCTAGGGATAAAGTCATGTAGGAAAGGCAGGAAAAATATACTTTATTGTCGCGACCCCTTGCCCGCAAGGAAAACGCAACTCGGGAATCTTCTTTCAACAGTTTATTCAGGCCCTTGATATTTCTTCTTTTTCTCTCTCGGATGCCCCTCCCAGCCTTAATAAAGCATCCCAAGCCCCAATGCAAAGCTGCCGCGTGGAGCTTTCTCACAGGGTGGTGAAAAATCATGTGCCAACTTTCCCAGATAAGAAGTTGTTTGTCACAGACCACAGCGGAGCCAGCGTCATCTTGTAATGGCGACCATAGTCTGCAGAAACGGCAGAAGCGGCTCACCACACTTTATTATTTCTTTTTATTGCTAGCAGTTTTTCCTGAGGCAGGATTCCAAGTTCAAAGCCAACCTTAGCAACTTTGGTCCTAAGCAGCTTAGCAATTTCCTGTCTCAAAAAACAAAAAGGACTGGGGATGTGATTCACTGGTTTAGTGCTCTTGGGTTCAATCCCCGATATTCTCCCCTATGCACACACAAATTCTTAACAATTTTCAAAATACAAAATTTATTTTCATGCAGTAATAAAAATTGGGCTATTCTGTAATAGTGACCAATTTTTTTGTTGTTGACAGTGTCAGTATGAAGGGTATACATTATTTAGTGTTTTATATTGCTTTATTTTATTTGTGTCCTAGTCAGCTTTTTTTTTTTTTGCTGCTGTGACTAAAAGACCTGACAAGAACCATTAGAGGAGGAAAAGTTTATTTGGGAACTCAGTTTCAGAGGTCTCAGGCAGCTGGCTCCATTTCTCAGGGCTCCAGGTGAGCCCGAATGAACATCATGGTGGAAGTATATGGCCTTGACGAGTATGGTGGAGGGAAGTGGCTCACATGATCAGAAAGCAGAGAGACTCCACTCATCAGATACAAAATATATACCCCAAAGTCACACTCCCAGGAACTCACCTCCTACCTATACCATTTGTTAATCACATCAGGAGATTAATCCACTGATTGGGTTAAGGCTCTCATAACCAATCATTTTTCCTCTAAAGCTTGCATTGCCTCAGACATGAACTTTTGGGGGGACACCTCACATCCAAACCATAATAGTTTGCTTGTTTATTTTTTACAAAGATTAAAAGATCACAGAACAAATGACAATTTTAGGAACTAGGCCTATCTTAAGAGGCTTTCTCTTTTTCTCTTCCCTTTGAAAAACGAAAACTGAATACCTCCAAGATTTAGCTCTAGGGAAAAGATAGGCAAGGTGAACCATGAGAGTCCATTACCCTCTATTTCATCTCCACATTATAGAACTCATTTGTGGTCTTTACTTTGTAGGTCCACCCTAATTCCGGACAGTACCCTAAATTTTTCTAAAGGAAAATTGCTAAAACTCCTTTATGTGTGGTCTTAGGGAGACAGTGCCTGCCTCCTTCTCCAGGCCGAAGAGGGCAGGTTAGCCTTCCTCTGTGCTCCTGGGCCCTGCAGAGGGTAGACCTGTGACCTAGTCAGCCAAACTCCTCTCTTAGTGTTACTTGCAGGAGTCAGGATTGGGTTCTTGCTCCATGGAGTTGAAGAATGAACACCTCCAATGCCGCTGAGGTAAGTAAGCAAGCAGGAATTTTATTAAAAAGGAAAGTGAGATATTCAAAACTCCTGGTGCAGCGCGTTTTAAAGTTTATAATGCTCCCCCTTTTAAAGGCATGTAGGGAGAAGTTAATAAGCTCTTTTTGATTGGTTTTTGATATTTCAATTATTCCATGGTGGGCACAGCTGGATTATGAATTATGTAGTTGTTTTTGGTGAGATAGACACACCCTTTCTGAGAAACAGGAACTGTTTTATAACATGTAGGGCATGTTAAAATGGCTGTCCCATGCTTCCCCACTTGTTGACCTTTACTGTCCCTTCCCTAGCCTTTTCTACCTCACTAGGACTGGGATTCCTGAGTCCAGGAAAAGGAGACCAGAAAGGTAGGTGTCTCATTACTGCACAAACAGTGTGCCCTCATGCCACATCATTGTGGTTTCTGCTGCTCTATTTGTGAACCTCCTTTGATTCCTGATTATTTTTTAGCCTCTGCTTGGTTTGCTACCAAAGTGGTGACCCTCTAGTATCTTTATAGTAAATTCCTTTATATATAGAAGAGTGCATTTTGTTGCTTGCACTTGGAGGTCTCTGAATAAGTAATGGTGTCAGGCAGCTGGTATTTTAGGGAACAAGTCCCCAGAGACATTGGTAGATTAGTTATTTGACTGACAGGTTTTAATTGTGACTCTAGGTAGGAAATCTAGCTGCCTTTGGAAGGCAATTGAAAAATAGGTATCCTTTCTGGTTCCATGAAATCACAGGCTCATTTTATAGTAAGATTCTGGGCAACCAGACTAAGAAAAAGTCAGTATTCCAGGGTGGCTGCTTCTAACAGCATTAGTAGGATGAGGGTTAAAGCAAGTAAATAACAAGTTTGAATTCCTATATCAAGCTACAGCATCCTCATTTATTACAGATATAATACTCAGTAGAAAACAAGATCTGAGTCTCCCCAGTTAGCACAGCTGGTGAATTCACTGTCCCATTAGATCTATTCTGTGAAAACTGGAGCATTGATTAGGATTTGAAGTATGCCAAGAATTAAGTGGGAATAGGACTGAGGAAGTAATTTCTTCACTTAGAAGGAGAATGTTCCTTTCTCCATGAAGAAATCCTTCCCCCAAAGAAGTCCATTTACCAGAGAAAGTCAGTTCCCCTCTGCCATGGTCTTTTTTGTTTCCAAACCCATAGCCAATGTTAAAGAGTGCAGCATTCTTCCTGGAAGTCAAATCCAGAGAAATCTAACATATAGAAATAATTTGGGGTCTTTGCCAATTTCTAGTTACAATAAATTCAGGAACACATGAAGAAATAAGATTATGAGTGCACTTTTAGTATATCAGCATGCTGCCTTACATAAGATAATTCTAGACTCAAATAACTGAAGAATACGGTTATGGTCTTAATCATTTGCAGAATTAGATTCAACAAAGGTACATGATAAATGAAGCTGAGATGTCGGAGGTCCTTAGCATTATGGCAGACAGTGATTCTCAAACTTTTGTGTATGCAGAATCACAAGAAGGCTTTCAAAACAGACTTCTGAGCCTTATACCTAGAGTTTGTGGTTGAGATGAAGCCTAAGAATTTGCATTTCTAATAAGTTTTTGGGCAATAGTGATGCCACTAACCCAAGGATCCTCTTTGAGGACCACTGATATAAGAGAGAAGAAATAAATCAAACTTTGAGAGACAGGAATGTTGAATCATTTGCTTATGTAAATTCTCCCTTTACTTGCTACCTTTCTTTCCCAAAAGTACCAATATAGTCTTATAGTCTTTAAATTTAACTTTATTGAGGTATAATTTACATAAAAACGTATACTCAAATTATACAGTTATCTGTGTTTTGACAAATGTACACACAATTATTTAATTACCATAACAATTAAAATATAGAATGTTTTCATCTTTCCAGAATTCTTTTTTTTTTTTTTTTTTTTAAATTTTAATATTTTATTTTTTAGTTTTCGGCGGACACAACATCTTTGTTTGTATGTGGTGCTGAGGATCGAACCCGGGCCTCATGCATGCCAGGCGAGCACGCTACCGCTTGAGCCACACCCCCAGCCCCAGAATTCTTTCCTATCCTTTTTTATCCCTGTCTCTCCTGCTTTGAGCCCTAGGTAACCCTTCATCTGTTTTTTGATGCTGGTGATTATTTGTTTTAACAGATTTCATAAAAGTAGAACCATACAGTATTTATTTACTTAGTCAGTCTCTGGTTTCTTTTGCTTTGTATAAGGTTTTTAAAATTTACCTGTGTTGTTGAGTTGTTGAGTACTGTATCACTGTATCTTTTTTTTTTTTTTTTTTGACTTGTTTTACATTCAGTCCCATCTGTTCTACTTTTTAAATTGGTTGGTTTGTCTCATTGAGTCAAAAGTCATCTATATATTGTCAGTATAAAACATTTGTCAGATATATTATTATTGCAAATATTTCTGGAGTCTTGGCTTGCCTTTTCATTTTTTAATGGTGTATTTCAAAAGCAGAAATTTTAATTTAGATAAAATCTAATCTGTTTGTATGTATTTGTATTTTTTGCTTTTGGAGTTCTATCTAAATGTTTTTTCTAACAGAAGGTTACAAAGATTTTCTTGTATATTTTCTTCTAGGAGTTTTATATAAATTTAGATATCTTAACAATGTTGTGTTTCTAATCCATGAACATATTATATCTTTCCATTTATTTAGGTCTTCTTTGATCTCTCTCAGCAATGTTTTGTAGTTTTCAGTACAGGTCTTGTACCTGTTTTATTAAATTTATTCTGATTTTGTTTTTGATGCTGTTGTTAAATGATTTGCTTTATTAATTTTTTTCAGTCATTTGTTGGTAGCATATTGAAATATAAGATTTTTTTTGTATAATGGCTTTATATTCTATGACTTTTCTAAAATTAACTTATTAATTATAGTGATTTCTTTTTAAATTTAAAATTGATTCTTTAGAACTTTCTGTTATATGCAGATAACAATTTTACTTTTTCCTTCCCAATTTACTTGCCATTTATTTCGTTCTCTTGTTTTATTACTGGGATTTCTAGGATTGTGCTAAATTGGAGTCATGAGATTGAATTTCCTTGCTGTATTCCCAGTCTTGGGGGGAAGCAGCCACTGTTTTATCATAAATTATTATTTGCTTTAAATATTTTTTGATGCCTTTTATCAGCTTGATTCCTAGTTTCTTGAGAATTTTTATCATGAGTGGACTTTGAATTTTGTTCAATATTTTCTATATACTTGTATACGATTATGTGGGTTTTTTCCCCCTATTAATACCACGTATTACAATATGACATTTTCAAATGTTGAACTAGATTGAGTTGTCTGCTTAAACCCCATAGTTCAGTTATTAATGTTTCATTGTGAATTTGTTATGTTCAAGAGGGATATTACTCTCTAGTTTTCTTATAGTTTCTTTGTCTGATTTTGCATCAGAATAATAATGACTTCATATAATGGGTTGGGAAGCATTTCCTGCTTCTACTTTCTGGAAAATTTTGTGTAGAATTGATTTATTTGTTCCTTAAATATTTGGCAGATTTGTGGATATTGAATGAGTAATCGGGAGATGACTTAGTGATAGCAGTTATTTAGTGATACAGTACACATTCCAGCATCTCCGGTTTCCTTTTATCTGTACTCCATAAAGACTAATTATTCCTTAATATTCTTTTTTTAGACAATCGGGTTACATTATAGAGATTAGATGATAGCTGTTTTGGTTTGCTTCTGTCTTGAATATTTTCCTCGATCTCTTTAGCATCACATTTAGTAATTATCTCTTAGAGTAGACACTTTAGAGATGGGTATGCTCATTCCTGCTCTATTTTTGCCCTGAGATACTTCAATTCAGTCCCTCAAAATACCCAAGAATGTTTGCTCAACTGGGATATTACCTATTAATCCTTAACTATATTAATACCAATCTGTGCTCTCTTCAGTTCAGATGAAATATGTAAAATCATGAACACTGAGCTAGAAGGTACTTTATCGACCATTTTGCCTAACCTCAAAAAAGCAATAATTGTAAGCTGTTTAGCTGAATACTGGGAGTACTGATGTGTTTTGGGCACTTCATACTGTACATGGTACAGTCCCTTGTTTTTGGATTATAATCTTTTCTGTGCACACCCTAACTATGGAGAACCTCAGTAGTGTCCAGTCCATTTGTGTACAGTAATACTGCAGTATGGTTAGCTAAATGACCATCCAAGCCAAATCTCCCTGAGCCTTGACTTCATCTGTAAAATGAAGAAAATGAAGATCTATTTTACAGGGTTACCAAGATACTAAAGTATAGAGAAAGCACTTGGTAAACCACAATCTGCTTTTTATTTTGGTTTGAAAAGAGTATTGAACAGGATGAAAAACAAAAATCAATCAATCTGAGAATCATTCAATTATTACATGGGTCTTCAGCCTGGAAGACATTAGCTAAACCTAAAAGGAATGGCCTTGGAAATTAGAATTTCTAGTATATTAAATCACAAGTACCATTTGCTGGTCAAGCAATCATTGACTACCTTACAGTTAAAAACAAAAAACATTTCCTCACCAGTACTATGAAACAGAAGACTGTATTTGCTTTTAGGAGATTACAAGAAGTTGACCAACTAATGGCACTTCAATACATTTGTGTTTTTATAATGACAACTTAGAAAATTGAAGTTATTGAAGTACCTATGAAAATAGTATAAATCAACTACCCTAGAATATATTGCAATTTTTTGCAAGGTTGGTTTAATAACTATGGCATGATATCAGTGCTTATCCTCACATCACATTAAATATATAGTTTTAAATGATTTTTACAAATACAAATAAAATTTTATAGTCATTTAGTTTGGCCCCACAAATTTATTAAGCATTATTACTGTAAGTAATCAGAGTGTTCTGGTCCTCAAGGAGATGATTGTCCAATAGGAGGAAGGATTATAAGACAGTAGAAAACACTAGGATGGAGGTACTGTATATACAAAAGGCATGGGAGTCCTGCAGGGACTTGGGGATTATTGCCAAATATCAAGAACACTGAAAGGAAGCAATATTGTTGCTAAGACAGAAGTTTTAATGTTAGGTGGGAGGAAGGGCAAATAAAACTGTAAAAAGACATGGGGGCATCAGTGCCAGTGGTACATGCCTGTAATTCCAGTGACTTGGGAGGCTGAGACAGAAGTATCAAAGCCTCAAGGTCAGCCTCAGCAATTTAGTGAGGCCCTGTCTTAAAAAATTAAAAAGCTCTCGCATGCACAAGGCCCTGAGTTCAATCCCCAGCACCACAAAAAAATAAAATAAAAAAGCTGGGGATATAGCTCAGTGGTACAGTTCCCCCTGGGTTCAGATCCTAGTACCAAAAAGCCAAAAAACAAAAACAAAATCTATGGAGCCAGGCATTAAGGTGCCTACTTGTAATCCCAGCAACTTGAGAGGCTAAGGCAGTTTTGAAGTTTGCCTCAGTAACTTGGCAAAGTCCTAAGCAAATTAGAATTTGTCTCAAAATAAAAAATAAAAGGACTGGGGATGTGCCTCAGTGGTTAAGTGCCGCTGGGTCCAATCCTTAGTATCCCCTCCCCCCACCCCTGCCAAAAAGTACCCACAAACCATGGAGGTTTGAGAGAGCATGGTGTTTCCTGGACTATGGTAGAGCCCAGAATGAACATTTCACTATGAAATAGAGAGGGGTCAAATTGTGGTAGTTTACTTGTTTGGTCATTTTCCAGACAGCTACTGAAGAATTCTGATTTGTAGAGTGCAAAACCCATTTTAGAATGCCTTTCTCAGTGCAGTGGGGAGGATGAACAAGAAGTGGGTAAGAAAGGTTAGAAGTGAATTCTCAGCCAGGGTTTATGGAATATGAGTGTCCTTCTACTGACTTAAGGAATGAATATAATTAGGGGGTTTTTGTCCACAATGAGCAGTTTACTCAGATTTTAAATTTATTTAGGACAGTTTTATCTATAGTCTTATGTTTCCCCAGTGACCCCTGTGTGACATGATTATGCTTTAAAGTGCTTCTCTTTTAAGAATCTTGTACTATTAAAGGCTTTGTCTATTGCTTGTACCTTGATGGGCTCCATGAAACAAAGCAATACTCAGGAATAGACAAAATGATAAATATTTGTAATTTACACCATTATTTTCATATCATTGAGTTACTCAATATAATTTTTCATTGTACCTTCAAAATCCCTGAGACAGGTCAGAAACCTGTTTTGCCAGTGAAGAAACTGAGGTAAAAATCTTCTCCTTGGGTTTCAGCATGAGAGACTAGAGTATGTCAGCGAAATTATTGCTTTTGACCATGTCAGTTTCTTAATCCCTCCTTCCACTTTTTAGTTGTGGTTTCTTTGTAAGTCCAAAAGTGCAAAGTGTTTTGAAGATTGTTCTTCCTTGTGTTGGAAATAGAGTGCATGGTGGGCACAAAGTGCTCAAAGCGAAAGCCAGGTGCTGTTTCTCCGATTGTCGGGTTTATGAGAAAGGAAGGATATGTAATATTGACTATTAATGAAGCACTGATCGTGCAGTTAGTCTGTATTCTTCAGGAGTCTCAGTATATGATGGGTGTATCACTGTACACAGTCATCTGTCTGAAGTGTCATCACTGGACTCTTCCTGTACAAGAAGTGCGTTGCTCTCCTCCCTCCAGTTTATGCATTTGACAGCCCTACAAAAGCAAACAGGCCTTGTGAAGTGCATATTGAAGCAATGCATGAATAAGCAATCTAGTCCTTCTTTTCCATGGTTACAGGGCTTCTAATAAATTATGGAATTGTGCATAGCAGGATTGGCATTTTGAATCCAATGAACTCATTAAGCACTGTGTTCAGAAATTTAAAAATTTGCATGAGTTTTTTTCTTCTGGATTGCTAAAATAGCTCATCAGTCCTGCTGTCTCCTTGGTAGAGTCCCCATAAAATACTTACTTAATAAATACTTAATAAAGCTATTACTGAAGTTCCTGTTCAAAAGTTGGAATTGAATCTAGGCATTAGGACATTTGGAAATAATTAAAACAACATATAATTTTGATTTCGAAAATATTGAGAGTATAGGGTAAAAAAAGACTCAGAGGCCCATCTACACTTACCTCATTATTAAAAGCATTATTAATAGGATTACTACCTTTTACCAATCCATTTCTAACAAAATAGCTATATATATGTGAAGAAAGAAATCACTGGACAAATCACTGTGAACTTTTTTCACATCTTTGGATACCCATTCTGAATTGCCTTGTGCTAGAGCTGAATCATGCAACTACCAACAACCTATAAGATGGACTGTCTCATCATGTGCTTGATAGCACGGCATGAATTTATAATTTTGATAATTCAATAGTTGAATGGTCTCTTAAAGACACTTAGTAAATATACTTTTTGTTAGAGTTAGAGGAACTTCTAATCCTACTATATCCCATCTGATACAGATCTAGGTAGCAGAATTCAGCTGAGACAGTATCTATCAAGTGCCTACTATGAAAACGTGGGCCAGCCTTCATGGAGTTCTCAGTCCTGGCAGAATGCCTAAGGCTACTGCTTGGAGGTAGCTTTCTCCCTTACTCACAGCCTGACCCCAAAGTGTTTAGGAGAAGCAGAGAAGGCCTGGCTTCTTGTGACCCCTGTCCCTTGATTCCTGTCACCATGCTATGCAGCCATGTGAAATGGACAAAGCTCTGCAGAGGCAGGTTAATGCCCTTTTAGATCACTGCTTTGGCCATATATATATATATATATATATATATATATATATATATATATATATATATATATTTACTTGGGTGATTTTGTGACCACTTATCTGGTTGGCTAACATTTTTTTGTTAATTGAGAAACAGGAAGAAATAAGTATTTCTTTTATGTTTATGTCTCTGATCTCTTTAATTTGTGTGCTTTTTTTTTTTTTTAGAATTAGTGTCTTTAAAAATATTTTTAGGGCTGGGGTTGTGGCTCAGTGGCAGAGTGCTTGCATAGCACATGTGAGACACTGGGTTTGATTTCAGCACCACTTATAAATAAATAAATAAATAAATAAATAGATTAATTAAATAAAGGTATTGTGTCTATCTACAACTAAAAATATTTAAAAAATATATACATATTTTTAGTTGTTGATGGACATTTATTTATTTGTTTATATGTGATGCTGAGGATCGAACCCAGCGTCTCACATGTGCTAGGCAAGTGTCTGCCACTGAGCCACAACCACAGCTCTAATATGTATTATTTATGAACAGAATTTTGTGCTTTGTATTATTTGAATGTTTACATTTTATTTATTTATTTTTGAATGTTTACAATTTAAAAGGGAGTCACTAATCAAGCTCAGGAAAGAGCTCTCAATATTTAGCTCAATTCTCTCTCCTTTTCTCACTTATTCAAGAATCCATATTAAAGTCAATCTTAAGACAGCAATCTTTGACCATTGAGGGAAATTCTTATATTAAATATACATATCTATTCTTAGGGGCTAAATTAATAAATTGTTTATTCATTTATTTGATGCTAGGGATTAAACCTAGGGGCACTTTACCGCTTAATTCAGATGCCCTTTGATAAAATGATTAGAAATAATCACATACCATAGACTGATCACTGGAATGAACAACAGGCCAGCAGACAGCAGGAAAGTGAAGCCAGGGTACCAAGCAACTGTGGCTGAATAAATTCCATTAAAAGCAGAAACTGCAGTGACTCCACCAAGTGTTTCTAAGAACGCGATACAAGCAAACAGGGTACCTGTGTGGGGTACAGGGGTGTGGGAGAGGGGGCAGAAAAGACCAGATTACAAAACAAGAAAGAAAAGCTGATGAAGAAAAATTGTTATTCATTGAAAACTGCAAACAGGAAGACACTGATGGTGAATGAAATCTGTTCCTTCAAAATTCCTGAGACGTCAGTAACCCATTTCGCAGACGAAAAAGTTCAGACAAACATCTCTCCTAGGAGTCAGTGTGAAAGATGTTGAAGACAAAGTAGCTGAGTTCCACTGTAGGTAGACGTGTTCATAAAATATGTGCGTGGGCAGTCCAAGCTCATAATCTGAGAGAAATGCACATGATTCAACCAACTTTTACCATAGTTAGAATCCAAGACTATACTGAGTGAAGAGTTAAACCTCCAAAGATAGGCTAGTTGTCTTGATGTGCTTTCTTTCTTTGTTATACTTGGCATCACTAGGTAGTAAATTTTGTGAGCATGTCAGACAGACATGACTTCCTTTTACATATGCTCAGTCTATGTTCCTATGTGGTTTCTGCTTTCTGTAGACTTTATCATCTAATTATCCCTAGGGTCTTTTAGACTATATACTGATTTTCTATTTAAACCTTTCCATTCTGTTAGACACATGCTAATACATTCTTCAAGTTCTTCATTAAACAATAGGATATGCTCTTATAGAACATAAATCTATCTCGACAAAATAATATGTAGTCATTTATATATCTTCTTTTGGCTATAATGAAAGCTCTGTCAATGCAAAGTGCATTTCTTGGTTGCTCCTATGTCCCCAGGGCCCAGCTGTTCCTGGTGATGGTAGATATTTAACAAATATTTGTTTAGTAAATGAATAAAAGCTTAATTCAGGACTCCAATTATCAGTCATCAAGTAGCATAAAGATTTATTGCCTCCAGGATTTATGATAATATGCTAAGTCAGTTTAATTGGAAAGGAGTTCTCCTACTTGCCCAACTACAATATTATTTTCTTTATTTGTGATCTCTTGCTATAGCCAAGAATAATGCTGTGCTCTGGAATGCAGACTGCTCAGTGCTAGTTCTATTATATAAGGGCGTTAATCCATTCTTCATGGGAAGCAGGTCAGACAGGGCACTATCTGTCTGATACACATACTATTATGAAGTAGCTCTAGCTTGTTGCTGAATGTCTCTGAGCAACTTGTTTCGTAGTCGCAGAGATCAGTAGGATTCAGTAAGGACACTGGAGTTTACATTCTAAGTTTTTTTTTTTTTAATCCAACAGAACTCAAAAGGTCAAGCCTATCTTATTGTGTTTCAATTTATAATCTTATAATCACAAGGAATTCATGAGTGATACAAAGGCAAAATAGCTAGTCCAAGATGGCTTGAAGTATGAATTTCACATCTGTACAGCACACAAAGATTTTTTTTTTTTCCTAACTGGGATTGAGCCCAGAGGTACTTTACCATTGAGCTAAGTTCCCAGCCCTTTTTACATTTTTTTTTTTAATTTTGAGATAGGGTCTCACTAAGTTGCTGAGGGCCTCCCTAAGTTGCTGAGGCTGACTTTGAACTTAAGATCCTCCTGCCTCAGCCTCCAGAGTCACTGAAGTTACAGGTGTGTGTGATGGTGCCCACCTAGCACAGAGAGCTTAAAATAATTACCCCATTTTTTTCACCTTCTTTTTGTTGTCGTTGTTGTTTTTTTGGTGCTGGAGATTGAACCCAGAGCCTCTTACAGACTAAGCACATGCTGAACCACTGAGCTCCACCTCTGCTCCTCTCCTTTCTCATTTAATATAAGACAGAGTGAGGGCATCTGAAAGCCTCTCAGTATTTCCCCTTCCTCTGATTATTATAAAATACATAATATTTTCACAAAATGGCTATTTTTAAAAAATAACAAGAGATACGAGTACATTTAGTTATAGAAATTTTAACACTGTCCAAAGTACTTATTAATTTATAGTAAGGAAAAGTGTAATTACACTATCCTAGCATAATGGAGTCATAATTCACAAAGTTATTGCAATTTTGAATAAGAAATGCCCAAATGCAAACTAAGCATCTTTCAATGTTATTATAGTTAATAATGAGATGATTTTTTAAAAGCCTTTATAAACTCTATCAAATATGAACAAAAACATACATTTTGACAAGTTCATTTTATCTTTAAGTCAAAGCATGTAAACATTTTTTCTTAACAGCTTTACGGAAATATAATTGATACACCATAAAGATCACTCTTTTAAAGTACAAAATTCAGTATTTAGTACTATATATTTAGTATATTATTTAGTATATTCACAGAGTTGTGAGACCATTACTATTTTCTACATGTGGAATATTTTCATCACCCCAAAAAGAAAATCTATGCCCAATAGCAATTACTTCCCTTCTCCCCAGCTCCTTGCAAGCCTCAATCTAATTTCTGTGTCTCTATAAATTTGCCCATTCTGGATATTTCATGTAAACTGAGTCATATTTGTACAATAATGTGTGGCCTTTTGTGACTAGCTTCTTTCATTTAGCATAATGATTTCATAGTTCACTCATGACATTATAGTATGTTTCAGAACATTAATTCTTTTTATTGGCAGATATACTATATCCATTTGCATTGTGTCCACTATTTGGCTATCATGAATAATACTTCTATTTTGTTTGGACATGTGTTTTCATTTCTCTTGGTAGATACATGGGGGTGGTGTTGCTGGGTCATAAGGTAACTAACTTTCTGAGGAACTACCAAACTGCTTTGCAAAAGTGGCTGTACCAATTTATATACCCAGTAGCAGTGGATGAAGGTTCCGCTTTCTCAACTTCCTCACTCATACTTGTTATGATCTTTTTTACTTTGGCTATCCAAGTGTGCCTTATTGTGGGTTTGATTTGCATTTCTTTGATGGTTAGTGATATCCTACTTTTTTTCATTTGCTTATTGACCTATCTTCTTTGGAGAAATGTCCACTCAGATCCTATATCCATTTTTAATTGCATTGTTTGCCTTTTTGTTATAGAGTTTCAAGCATTCTTACCTTCGCTGAATACAAGTTCCTTATCAGACATAGATTTGCAAATCTTCTCTGTGCCTGCCTTTTCATTTCCTTCATAGTATTCTTTGAAGCACAGAGATTTTGAATGAAGTCTTTATTGAAGTCTAAAGTACTTATATTCTTCTTTTGTTGTGTTTTTAGTGTCATATCTAAGAAACCAATGCATAGTCCAAGGAAGCAGGTAGATTTTCACATAGTATAATAACAATTTTTATATTCCTAAGTGGTTCTCAAGGTAACCATCATCACGTGGTCTATAAACAGCTGTTTGACTATACAGCTTCAGCTTATGAGTGGAAAAGAATCAAGAAATATATTTTCAAGTTATTGAATTATGCAGCTTTCCTTGGTGTTGACTAAACTGGCATAAATACAAAAGCACACTTAGGAATTTTCCATAAATAATCAAATAAGAACCAGACTGATATGATACAAAAGAAAGTACCTATGTCTAATAATATTCATATGATACAGAAGAACAGGAGGACAACCCCATATGCTAATATCTACTAGTTATAATTATAAATTTAACTCTTGTCTTCTTTCTGTGCTGGTTATTCTCTGTCTGCCCTTTCAACCATTGGGCCCCTGTTCCCTGATCTACACTTGGGAGGCTGACCCTCATATGACATGACTAGGACATCCTTCTTGGTCCAATTTCCTATTGTGCTATGTCAAAGGTATGAAGGAGAAGAACAAGGCTATAGTGTGTTTTCTCTCTTTCTTCCCTATTTTGGGCACCTCTCTGGGGACCTCCACAGTGCCTATACCATCATTCCTGGAAGTCTCTGATTTGAACTAGTTGAGTGGGATCATGTTTGCTGTAGGACTCTGATTTGGGTCCCAAGTAAGAATATAATTTGAAGTCTACATATATAGTCTAAGTACAGCCAGCCCTCTATATCCACAGCTTCCACATCCAAAGATTCAACCCATCATACATAAAAAAATATAGTTAGGCATTTGATGGTTATTTTTCTACTAAACATGTACAAACATCATTTTCTTGTCATTATTTCCTGAGCAATGTAGTATAACTACTATTTACATAGTATTTACATTGTGTTATGTATTGTAAGCCATCTAGAGATGATTTAAAGTACACAGGAAGACATGTGCAGGTTATGTGCATATAATATATAGTATTACTTAAGGGACTTGAGCATCTGTGGATTTTGGTGTTTGTAAGGGGTCCTGGAATCAACAATCTCCCTCAGATATTGAGAGACAACTGTATTTAAGTTACCAATCTGGCTAAAGAACCATTAATTAAAAAATATATCGTGTTTCTCTACTGTGGAAAACATATCTCTGTAATGATCTGGAAGGCCTGGCACAAACGCAGAATTCTTAGACCTTTTTAGAATTCCATGTAGGAACAAGACAGCATGGTAGAGTTGGCCCTTGGCCCTCTGTCCCCAGCCTGCAGCCCACCCCCATTCTGTTCTACTCCTTGATCCATCTTGCTTAGAAAGGGTCAACTGCACATGGGTGTCAACATGCTTGTTCTATGATTCCAAGTTTTGGTCAGACCTTCCTATGAAGAGACACCCTTGGATTCTCTGGTCTAGAGGAGAGCACGTGGAGGTATATCCATGGAAGAGGATCAGGCAGACACTCACTGGGCATAAGCTCAGAGTTGTATGGATAGAAATTATGGAGACTCAGGTAGCCAGAGTACAGTATAGAAAAAGCAGAGGTGTTTTGGACTCTCAGTGGACATATCCACTTAACCCTTAGGTCTCCTCTTGGGTTAGGGCACAGCCAGAGGAAAGGCCAGAGCCGCTTTCTAAAACAAGGGCCCTAGGAAGGGGCTCTTTTACCTGAGTGTAAACCTCTTCCTGACATAGCTTACCACTTAATTCAAAAGATCTGGGCAGAAAATGGTTATCAATGCATCAAATTCTATCGTACATTCTGTTGATACATTCATTACATTCTTTAAATGACTTAAACTCACCTTGTTCAGTAGGACGGACTACTTTTGACAACATGGATCGCAGGGCAGAGAGTGGCATAATAGTGAAAAGGAATGGCACCCGGACTATGAGAGAAATGACTGGATTAGAACACTTTTGGTAACTGTACATGGGAAACATTCTCAGTCTAAACATGTAAGTTTTAGGTCCAGATCTATAATCTACCAATGGAGGCTGAGCAGCTTCTTCTTATACACTTCTTGTTTAGCAAGTTGTGACAGCTAGTTTTTGTTTGTTTGTTGTCCTTTTTCAGACTTAACACAGTGTTAGTTAGCATTCCTTTACTGCACAGATTCATTTATTGGTAAACTGGCTCCTTATCATCTTGCAAGCTCGTCTTTGTGTCTAAATAACTTCATAAATACAAATGGCCTCTGTTCTTAAATTATGATCCTTAACCATCAATAGCCTTTTAAAATATGTCATGATATATTTGCAGGTTGCTTTAAGGTTTTCAAAGTGTTTTCTCATATATCAACTTACATGGCCTTGGCAGTTCTTAGTGAGACAGAGGAAAACTGGCATTTATTGAATAGTAGGTATTGTGTGAAGTGTTTTGTAGTTACCTCATATTCATTATATTCCTCTGAATGAGGCATTATCATGCGCATTTTGCAAATGAGAAAATGAGAGCTCAGAGGAGTTAAGTAACTTGCTGAAGGTCACCTAGGGCTGTTGGTGGAAGTTAAGGCCATTTCTCTTTGGTCACACTACTTCTATACTAGGAAGTAGGAGGTAAACACTTCATTTGTAAAAAAGACTAAATTTAGCCTTTCTCAAAGTGATGCTTCCCAGTTCCCATAGCCCTTTCCAATGCAGGATCTCACCTAAACCCTATAAAAATAGTTTTGAGGCATGTAATTAAGCAAGCAGTTCAGTGTGCTGAATAGCAATTCATCACAAGTCAATTCATGAAATGACCAGTAGGTCAATTTGCAAAAACTTCCCCTAAAACACTTTCCTTTTGAAGGATGCGAAGCTATTCTTTTGGTATTGAGGGAGATAGGACCCTCAGAGCAAACCCCAAGTACTTCTTGCCTCCTTCATCTCTTTGGAAGCAAAATTTGTGATTTCTGATTTTGTATAAAGTTTATAACAGTAATTTCTATTCTGGTTGCAATGTATTATTGGATGGTAAAATTAATTCGGTGGAGCACATCAGAATATTTTTTAAAATAGCATAAAACAAATGTCAGAATACTTGGGGGGAAAAGAATTTCTTCTTGAATATATTCAACAAATATGAATTTTCTTATAAATCAATTAGATACACTTTATATAATTGTTCTAAATATTTTTATGGGAAATAGCCTTTTTAGCAGCATTTTAAAAAATGTTCACTTTGGTAAACTGGCTATTGGTGAAAGCTATATTGAAGAACTCATTCATATAAAGAATATCTCCCAAAACATTTTTTTGGCAGACATGTAAATTTGGAAAATTGTGGTCAATTCAGGGAATACTCCCCACTACCCCCAGTAGATTTTGCTCTCATCTTATTTGCTTCTGGCAAACTAGCTTTTTAACTTTAAGACAACTGGAATGGGTTGAATAGAGAGCTTTATATTAAAGGTTCTGTCCCATCAGACTTAATTCATTTCATATAAAATCAAATACACAGTTCCAAGGCTGCATTTGTAACTCACCTAAAAACATCATCAGTGTAGTTCTAGCAAAAGCAGCTGTGGCCATTCCTGCTATGGTGGTAAAAATTCCAATGACGGCCATATGAATATCTTCCATGCAATAAGAAAAAAGCCAAATTCCTAGGAAGCTACTCAAAAAGGAGATACTACTCAAAGCTGATCCATAACCTATAAAAATTTCATTCCAGCAGAGTGGGGGACCCAATTCATAAAGGATAAAAACTGGGGAAATTCCACTTATTACGAAGAAAAAAGTGATCATTGTAAAAAGTAACAAACAGAGCAAAAGCCGTTGCTTACCAGAAGCATTTTTAAAAAGTATGTAAGTTCGGTAAAATAGGTCTTTAAAGCCTTCACTACATGATATGGTAACATTCTGAGTTGAAGACTCTTTCGTTGGATTATCAAGTAAAAATAAAATATATGTCAAGTTAACAGTAAGAACTATAGCAATAATTAAAAATGACCATACAAAACCTAGTTCTCTAATAAAATAGCCAGATGACAGTCCTGTTAGTCCAGTAACGAGTCCAAGCATAAAATCAATTATAGCTATTCGAATTGTTTTTTGTTTGGATTCTTTACACTGATCAACTATATAGGCAAAGCAAGCTCCATAAAATGTTGTATAATTGCCACAAAATGCACCAATGAAGGTAGATGCAATCAAAAGCTGGAATGGAAAGGCAAAGTAGGACAGCAAATAGATCCAAATGCTGGTTGCAAGAGCACCAACGGAAGATAAAATCATAGGGAATTTTCGCCCATGGCGATCACTACTAGATAGAAGAATGAACGTAGACAACAGGCCAGGAATTAAACCACTTATCTCCATCTGTAGGCTAAATAAAGACACTTTTTCCTGAACTTCCTGCAAAGAAAAAGAAGACAGTGGATTTATACAATGTGCATAAAAATATCATGATGCATGTTTTTCTTGACATTGCCGGTCAGTCATGGGTGGGGAATCTGGTCCATGGTGGGGATCTGACACAGCTTAAATCTTCATCAGTTCACAAAGCAGGTGTCAAAAGGTGACATAAGCATTCATACTCAGTCATGATATTCAAGTGGCCACCTGAATCCATGAAAAGAAAAATGTGTGTACTGGTGTGTGTCTCTTGCAAGAAAGACCTATATACTACTAGGCCTCTGATGTTAGCCATAGTATGAGTTTTCTTCCTTCTATGAAGAGTTCACACTGGGAGATCATGGCTACTATTCCAAAGCAAGAATGACACCCTTTCCTGTGATAGGTCTTCCTGTCCCCACTAAAGGAGAGTGAATAACTCATATGGATGCCATATTTGACAGGCCTTTATTTAGGAAGAGCTCTGTTACCCTTTTGACTTCTATTTCCACAAATAGATTAGTGAGAAACTTATTCATTTATTTACTATATTAAAAAAAAACCTAAAAAGGTAAATCCCATAAAGGGGACTTACATTAACTAAAGATGATGGCTAGCCATAAATTCAACCTCCAATGACCAAAATGGTGACAATGGATGAGTACATACACACTGAGACTGGGAGTTGTGATGACTGACATACTAGTCATTTGATGGAAATAATTTGGGGAGATATAAAAACACTTTCTATTTGCCACTTATCTGTATTTTCCAAATTTAAAATGTAGAGTATGTGCCATTTTTATAATGAGCAATATTAAGCTCATTAAAAATAAAAGATTTATTTATGTGCTATGCAGAAAATAGCCTAAATGATTAATGAATTACAAAATTATCAGCTGTTTCCTCCCCTACAAGAAGAATAACCTAAAGGAGGACAGGAACTGAGTCTTCTTCACCACAGTACCACTAGCTCCAAGGACAGGGCAGGTGGGCAGGTACTCAGTAGATAATGAATGAATGGTCATGTAATAAGGACTTTGTAAGCTGCTAGGTGTGCGGGATCTGACCAAATTATTTATCTCCATAGCTTCTTCATCTGACAGATATGAATGTTGTCTCTACTTCACAGGCTATTGGTAGGGTTACATTTAAAACAAACATAAGATGCTAAACATATAAAATAAATAAGGAGGGGAAGGGAGGGGGCATGGGGGTAGGAAAGATGCTGGGATGAGACTGACATCATTACGTAGGTGCATGTACGATTGCATGAGTGATGCGACCCTACTTGGCTTACAACCAGAGAAGTGAAAACTTGTGCTCCATTTGTGTACAATGAATCGAAGAACATTCTGCTGTCATGTGTAATTGACTAGAACAAATAAATTAAAAAATAAAATAAAATAAACAAGGCCCTAGCACAGTTAGTGCTCAATCAATTTGACCTATTTCCTTTTTCTGGATAAAACATCCTGAGCACATCTTTGTATCTCTTACAGATACAGTGCCATCAAGTAAATATTTATTGAATAAATAAATAAGTAAAAGTTACCTTATAATCAGCTTCTAAACCAGATGTTCTAGTTTTGGTTTCCTCCTCCCCGTTTCTATCCCACCACCCAGGTTCTGTCTTCCTCTTTTTATTACCATTCCTAACCCAGTCTAGTACACAGACTACTTCCTCATCTGTAACCTGAATTTTAAAATACAGATTTTAACAAGGACAAACTCGAAGCACATTCCACCATAAATCATAATTGAAACATAAGAAAAAAATTGTGCATGTGGGTGTACGCATGCGTGTGTTTAAACTCTGGAGGAAGATAGTTAACATATCACATAGGAGTAGATAGGAGAAGTTTAAAAAATGCTATTTTCTATCCAAGACTGCACAGAATGACAATGTCCTAAGGAAAGAATAAATGAAGGGCTGGGGATGTGGCTTAAGCAGTAACGTGCTTGCCTGGCATGCGCGGGGCTCTGGGTTCGATCCTCAGCACCACATAAAAATAAAATAAAGATGTTGTGTCCACTGAAAACTAAAAAATAAATATTAAAAAATTCTCTCTCTTAAATAAAAAAAAGAATAAATGAAGGAAAGCAGTAAATCTATGTTAAAGAAGTTACAGGGCTGGGGATGTGGCTCAAGCGGTAGCGCGCTCGCCTGGCATGCGTGCGGCCCGGGTTCGATCCTCAGCACCACATAAAACAAAGATGTTGTGTCTGCCGAAAACTAAAAAATAAATATTAAAATTCTCTCTCTCTCTCTCTCTTTAAAAAAAAAAGAAGTTACAATTTCATAGAGTAAAATGTATAAGTGAATTCCAGTTGAATAGAAAATATTCCATGTCATTTTCAAAAATCAACAAATATGCCCAGAATTCCTTCTCTCTTTGTTCCCTAGGCAAAGTTCCCCGCCACAGCCTTGACTTTTTGTTAAAGGTCCTTCTGAGATTAACCCCATTGCTGAAGAGAAATATATAGGTGTCCCTTCCAGTTAGAGGGCTCAGAATACTTTAAGATTTGAAAAATAGGTTTGAGCAATATAATATTATTTCTATGAGTGTGTGTTTGTAGATATACATGTATGTGCACGTATTAATACAAAATGAGTTGAAAAATAAGACTTTCACTCATATAAACTATCAAAATGTCAAATGCAAAGTGCGAGAGCTCAGTTTATTCTATCTACACCCTGAAATTTATAATAGTATCTTGCATGCTAATACCTAGGCACGGGTGCATACTGGTTAGGTAGGAAGGATAAATGAATATGGCACAGCAGTAAAGAGTCTGTTATCATAATTTTCACTGTCCTTTTACACACAATTGATCTTTTTGGGAGGAAAACAAAAGAAAAATTTGAGCTGAAAAAGTGATTGATCTGTTTATTAGGGACTCACCCCATGCTGTGACATCTCTTATCCTTTCAGTTTTAAAAACAGTCTGCCAAGCCCTAAACTTGGAGTAACCAGAGCCCGACCAGACGAGCTGGATGGTAGAGATGGAAGTTGAGAGAACAGGACACATTTGCTCTTGGATTTAGAGGGAGAGGGTGTTCTCTGAGCACAGCAGGGATAGGATCCTGAAAAGGGACCCAAAGGAAGTGCTGAAGGTGATGGTGATTTCTTTACAAACATGTTCCTTTGTAAATGACATGTCTCCCAGCACTTCCTGTCTCGGTCATAGCTGGGAATAGCAGAGTGGGGGAGTGGGTGGTTTTCAGTTCCCCACTCCGAGGAAAAGCACCAGGGGTCTAAGAGTACCATCTTTAAGAGAAGGGATCAAGATAGTATGTTCTCTTGAGTATAAATCCAATTAAAAATAATACATGAGCTGGGCATGGTGGCGCACACCTGTAATCTCAGGCAGCTTGGGAGGCTGAGGCAGGAGGATTGCTAGTTCAAAGCCAGACTCAGCAATAGTGAGGTGCTAAGCAACTCAGTGAGACCCTGTCTCTTAATAAAATACAAAATAGGCCTGGGGATGTGGCTCAGTGGTTGAGTGCCCCCGAGTTCAAACCCCAGACCCCAAACTAACTAACTAAATAAATAAATACAAACAAATCAGTTTGAAAGTTGGGCCAAAATCTTCTAAATGAGACCACTGCTCTAGGGGGCTCTTAGCAGCTGGACCAGGCTCGAGGTGGGGACTAGCACTTTTTACCTGCTTAGCCACAGAGGCCACCAAGATGGCTGGACCAAGGCCAGTCTTCCCTGAGTCCAGGAGGGCAGGTACAGCAGACATTCAGGTCCTCTCTGCCCAGGGCCCTCCCACAGGAACAAGGGGGCCTGCTCCCAGGGGCCAGGTGAAGGAAAACACAGAACCAAACACAGGAATGATGATCCCATGGAGCCTTCTTGCTCAAGGGAAGGATGTATAATGAGACATCCTGGAAGGGACACAAAATGCTCAGTGAGGCCCTTGGCCCTTCTCTCATTACAACCTTACTCTAGGCCAGAACCTTGCTGTGTGCACAGCTGCCCAGAATTCAGCAGTTTCAGGAAAATGGAAATAAGGAAATGAGTAAAATCAGGGACTGAGCCAAACACCTGGGCCTTGCCCCAGCTAGCTTCCACCAGACACCTGGGGGGACACGGGGTGGGCACGAGCCCTAGGGCTCTCTGCCACTTCTTCTCCTCAGACTCCTTTCACAGGCAGACTCTCAGAGCCAGGGGAGGCAACTCCATTTCCTTAAACTCTTCTGTGAGTGGCAGCGTCATTCTTGCCATCACAAAAAATCCCCAAGAGGAAGAGTTCTGAATTTATATGCATGGTTTATTTTTGAGGCATTATAGAGGAAAGCATTTCCACATCTGACAGCCACTTCTTTTGCATTTGGACATCAGTAGACTTTTGTCCAAAACTGTTGAAAGGCTCAGGAGGATGGTAAAGTACCTCCTGTTGTAAACAAATACAAAGTAAGGGAGGTGGGAAGGCCCCATAACATCTAGCTGAATGTTTTCAGTGTCCAGAGAGCAAAAGTGAGCACTCCTCACTCTAGATGTCCTCACATTTCAACATATGGGAGTCAAGGCTGATTTCTTAATGCTACCAGATGACAAGTGACATGTGCTGCTCCACTTCTACCCCATGACAGACCCCTGGCCAGTTTACATGTTGGATCACTTTCTGGAGTCCCTAAAAACTGTGACATGCAGGTGCAGTAGAAGGGAGCTGGGAGGAAGAGGACAAGGGAGAGGTAGACATACCATGTTTCACCCACCTCTATCCACTGTGTCCACCGAGTAGCTCATCCCAGCAGGCCTTGGCCTAAGTTTTCAGACTATTTTTTAAAATTATTTTTTTGGGGGGCAGAGATCTCAGACTGTGCTGGGATTTTCTAAGAGAAACAAGAACTAGCGTCTCACAAGAAGTAGGTTTCAAGAAAAGGCAGACTGCCAGTCTGGCATATGCCTATAATCCCAGCTACTTGGGAGGCTGAGGCAGGAACATGGTGAGCTCTGGGTTAACCTTGGCATCTAAGCAAGACCCCCCATATCACCCTCCCTCAAAAAAAATAAAAATAAAAAGAAGAAGAAGAAAAGGCAGATTATAGCCGGGCACCATGGCACATGCCTGTAATCCCAGTGGCTGGGGAGGCTGAAACAGGAGGATCCCAAATTCAAAGCCAGCCTTCACAACATTGAGGTGCTAAGCAACTCTGCGAGACCCTGTCTCTAAATAAAATACAAAATAGGGTTGGAGATGTAGCACAGTGGTTGAGAGCCCTGAGTTCAATCCCCAGTACAAAAAAAAAAAAAAAAAAAAAGGCAGATTACAGATGTTGGGAAATGTCAAATGAGATGAGAGCCCAGTGAATGCTATTGGTCTGCAATTTGGGACTTTGATAGTCATTCTTGAGAGGCCAAAGCATAAGTGTCATACCCTCTTTAATTACATTTTAGGGATATTTTAATGTCTTACCTTCTGGACTGCAAAAATTGGGCTGCTTTTGTTTTTGTCACACTCAGAAATATTGTTATCAAGGGCAAAGCTGTAGTTGCTTGTTTCTTCCCATATTCTCCTATACAGGTATTGTGTCGTCAGTGGAGAGATCAAAGACAGAGCAAAGGAGTTAAGGAGAATGGCAGGTTCAACATAGGAAATCTTCATATTGTTTGGGTAGGTGGCTGAATTCTAATAGGAAAAAAAAGAGAGAGGTAACCAATTGCATTCTTATCTCAGAGCCTAATTTTTCAAAGATGGGGAAGCTAGAAAACATTTTGGAGTAAATATCACACAAGCAAACTAACAAAAAGCAGTGAGCCCTTCCTAGGAGAATCACTTTTACTTGGGAGTATTCAGCTGGGATCATCACTCTTTTCGGTGTTCAAGAGTGGGACGTTTTAACACTCAAGCCGCCCTGGAGAAGATTCTTTGTGATGATCTTACCCAGTTCTCCCCGCTGTGGGTGAGTCAATGGTCAGACTGCATCTCACCAGCTGGTTTTCATAAGGTAAACAAAGGAGTTTCCTTAGGATACCGCAGTTACGCAACTGTTATTGTCATTTTGCTGCGTGTTAATGGGCAGGGAAGGAGTCTGAAAAGCAAAACTCTTAATCGGAAGGGGTTTTTTCTTTTTCCTTTCTGTAACTCACCCCACGATTAGTCTGCCTGCCGGGCTAGGAGGTCCGGCATTTTCGGGGTCAGACTCCTGATGCCCCGCGCTGGCGCAGCGCCTTCGGGCTCTAGGGCAGCTCCCAGCGCTGGGGCACTGGCGGCTGCGAGGGCCACTCAGCCCGGGTGGTGGGGAGAGGGCCGGGGCTGCGCAGCCGGCGCTGTAGTGGGGCGCGCAGGGGATGAAATTCGCCTGTCGGGGAAACACGAACCCTATTTTAAAGCAAACCAAGACAAGCGTACTTCCTGCGTCCAGAATGACACCCGCGACAGTCACTGCGCTGCCCTCGGCTCCTCCTCGGGCCTGCAGACTTGCTCTCAGCCAGCTCCCGGAGGCGCCGGCGGCAGCTGCTCTTCCTGGCTCTGACAAGCCTGTCCGCCACCTGCCGGGCCCGCTCTTGGCAGTGACTCAGCTGCGGCCCGCGAAGCCTCGGGGCCCACGGAGGAAGCCTGGCGGGCGGCTGTCTGCGTTGTCACAGTACGACCCGGCTGTCCTGCGATTGGGCTCTGCGGCCGGCGCCCCCGCGGGGATTGGTGCGCCTTGCTGTCATGTCACTCTCGTGTTCCCGCCCCTTCAGGCCGGAGGTGAAGCCCTGTGGAGCCCGGGTGCCCAGATGCTGCTGGTGGGCGCGCGCAACTGTTCTGCAACGCCAAGCATTTCGAAGTCCGAATATCGTGTTTACGGCAGCGCACAGAAGATCTGTTGCAGAGGGACACGTTTGGGCTGCAGCTCACTGTAGTATACCCGTCGGCTGGGCAAGTGCGGGCAGAAAGAAGTAGCGCAGTAGAGGAGGACCAGATAGGGAGTGCCGGTGGAGAGTACAGGAAAGAGTGCTCCTGGCACAAAGTTAGACCAGCTTTGCAATGTGATCGCTGGCTTTTCCTATTGATGGTGGCCTTGGGAAAAAAAATTAGATCTCTAAAACCCTCATTTCGTTGTTTGTCAAGCAAGGATCAGAAGTCTTATAGAGTTGTAATTAAAACCTCAACATACGCACACAGCAGGGCCACTGAAACAGGAGCATCAATGCCCTCAAACTGTTACTTCTTGAAGGAAGGAGGAATGCACAGGTAGGGAGCCCAACTCAGTAAGAAGGTGTTACGATTTACTAGGGGCTCCTATTCTTGAGTCAGGAAACTGTTCAAGAACAAAAACAAGGTTTTCCTCTCGAGTGGTTTCTGTCTGGAGGTAACCACTCTTTGATTAGTATCTTAATAAATCTTATCTAGGAGTCAAAATCAGATGGAAGCTAAAGCCATAATTGATAAAGAAAGCCTCAGTCATGAATATTTGTCATTTTTTGTGGCTTAGGCAATGTTCAAGTTTTGTCTTAAGATCACTATGAAGTGATCTTATTTTTGTCTTGCTCATGGTCCAGAATGGCCTTGTCTGGTATTGGTGTTCTTTTAGGCATCAGAACACTGGGGTCTAGAAAAACTCACAGCAACTCAGACTCAGATGATAGTTCCAAACCTGGCTTTCAGAGCCACTTTCTCTTTCTCAGTACCCATTTAAATGATACTCTTGTCACTGAATGGAATGTCAAAAGTCTTTGGTTTGAGTCCTCATAGGTACTTAATAACTAGTAGCCTTGGACTTGCCCCAAACTTAATTCTCAGTTTCTTCAAATGAGCATATATGAAGCACTTATGATGTTTCAAACAATGGAACACAGATGTTGGAAAGAAAATAGACAAAAGTGAATAAGATGGTTTACTGTGAAGACAATATATATATAATTTTTTTTTCGGTATTGGAGATTTAACCAGGTTGTTTTACCATTAAATGGCTAGCCCTTTTTATTTTTTTCATTTTGAGACAGTGTTTCACTAAGTTGCTTAGGACCTCACTGATTTACTGAGGCTAGTCTCAAACTTGTGATCCTCTTGCCTCAGCCTCTCAAATCCCTGGGATTACAGATGTGTGCCACCACACAAGGCCGAAGATGTAACATTTTAAAATTAAAGTGCATTTTGCTAGGGGGTAGACTAGAGATGTATTTAAAGTGGGAAGGGTCACCAAGAACAGCTGATTCTAACCAGAAGGAGTTGATATGGACTAGAGAAAAAGTGATCTGACTACCCACAAGAACATAAGGGAGGAAATAATCTATACCTTAGTACATTCAACAGTTGTCAAGCACTCTATGATCTTAGTTATTGTTACTAAAATAGCATCCATCTTGTGCTAATGAACCTATTTTCTGAATATTTTGCCTGATCAGAAGCAAAATGATCATTTCAGGATTTGGCTCCTATAAAATCAACAAGATCAAGGTCATGCCCCAAATCTTCTATTTTTCTAACAGTGAAAGTGTATCTGTCAAGCTACATGTCCATTTTGGATTACTGGGAAGCTTCAATTCCCATCATTTTCATTCATGGACACAGATTGATGGAGCCATCTTTGACTATTATTGTTGGCACAAGGGTAGAGAGAAGGAAATATGATAAATCTGATACCAGCTCTTAATGGTTCACGCTTAGAAATGGTACATGACACTTCTGCTCACATTCCATTGGCCAGAACAAGTCTCAGGACCATGTGGAGAACTACAGTCCTATCATGTGTTCAGAGGAATAGGTAATAATGACAATGGCTCTAATCTCTTCCATGTCCTCAGGCCATAATTTCTCATGAAAATCAATAGAAAGGAAAAGGCATTTAGAAGACGTTCTTTCTTATGGAGCAGGATGATTTGTATCCAATATACTTCCATGTCTTGCTAGCCCTACTTTTATACACCAAAAAGGAAGTCAGGCCTTCTTAATGTATTCAGCTGTCCTTCTCTATGGTGACAATTGTTTTACAAGTCTCTTCTTTTTCTTTTTGTCAAATAATACTAAATCCTTGAATATGTACAAATTGAAAAAGACTTAATCAACTCTTCATTGGAAGCTGTCACTGTACTGGGTATTGTGGGTGAAACAAAAATCACACATCATTGTTAATCATTGAAGAAGTTTCCCTTTCTTTGGTAAGAAAAGGTGGAAATATGTGAAGAGAGTAAGGATGATTCTAAAAAAAAAGAAGAAGAAAGTAAGAAAGTATTTGGAAATCATCAGAGACTCATCAGTCCCTGTACCCACTATGGTCATTACCCGTTACAGGCTCAAGTTTTCTTCCTTCAAAGACTGAGAGGAGAAACAATAGAAAGGGCTAGCTGGGCCAGGAGCAACAGCCATCCACCAGGTAGGTATAATTTGCCTGAAATGCAGGTCAACAGGTATAAACCTTCAGGACAGAAGCCTCCAGGAAGATTTTGAAATTTTGTGTTCTCAGTTCAATGACCTAGAAATTTTAATGTAAGCACTTTATGAATTGTCTTATAATCAAGTACTGACATTTGGTTTCAGTATCTGTATTTGTATTTTTTACTTTTGGTCCCATTGGCTTCAAGCAAGAGTGCTTCAATAATGTTAGATTAATGGGAATAAATATATAAATGATATGCCCAACCTATGTGAAGGCCAAATAACGACACATGTTGTTCAAGATGTTGGTAAAGATGGCGCCCTGAGTGCTTCTCTTCTGGGAGCTCAGGTTCATGACGCACTGAATGGAGTGAGAACCATCACATCCAGTCCCTGTGATGGCGCTAACTTTGAATGGCGCACCTCCAATCCCTGAAGTGGTGACTCTCAGCCAATGAAGAAGTAACAGCCCACTCGCCTTGCTCCTCCTCATCCTGTGTTAAGCCCATAAATATCAATAACCTGTTCCTGTTCGTTGTCTTACTCTTACTCTCTCTTACTCTTGCTCTCTTACTCTCTTACTCTCCCCTCTCTCTCCCCCCCACTTCTCTCTCTCTCCCCCCCTCTCTCCCCCTCCTTTCTCTCTCCCTCCCTCTCTCCCCCCTCCTCTCTCTCTCTCTCTCCTCCCTTCTCTTCTGCGACTGGCCGCTATGGTCCTGCTAATAAAATCTCGGACAGGTAAACAGTTGTTTTGGCTTGTTGAGTTTACGGAGCTTTTCCATTGTCCTTTACACAAGAGAAGTTTTTATACTATCTCAATAAAAACTGGGAGAGAAGAAATGAGCCCTCCCCTGACACATGAACACATATATTAAACAAAAGAACCCATGCTGTGCTGGACAGCACCATATTCAAGTGGAAAAAGCCCAGACAGAATATAGCGGTTATGAGATTTTGCTTGTTTCAAGAACTTTGTTTTTTTCACTTCTGATAAAATGGGAAAAGATGTAATAGGAAAAATCTTCAGTTATCCCAATTGCTGCTTACTAGGTGATTGTTAGTAAGATAAGTATAAATTGTTACAAGGTACAATTGTACAAATTGTTAAAAGGAGATGTAATCTGATCATATGACCCTGGTGAGTAATTTTCTAGAAGAGACCTGAGCAGGTCTTATCTATTTGAGAAATTCATAGCCTGACTTCAGTCCTTGTCTGTCCTGACCTCTGTTGCACTAGACACTGTTAAACAGATTCCTCCTTCGGGAAAATGTTCTTTCCCTTTAGATTCTATGGCAATAGAATGTGAAGACTCTGTCTTCTTGCCACTTCAAGGATGCATTTTTGGTTTTCTGTGTGAGCTTGCTTAGGTTCCATCTCAGCTCTTTCTCCTCAGTCAATCTCACCTACACTTGTGACTCACATCACAAATGTGCGGCCCACTCCCGAATCCCTTATCTCAAGCTCGCTCTCTTCTCTCCAACCTGTCACTCAGAGGGGCCACCTGAATATAGGTTGAGCATCCCCCAACCAAAATGCTTGGGATAAGAAGTATTTCAGACTTCAGAGAATATTGGATTTTGGAAAATTTGTATAGACTTAACCATTTGAGCATCACTAATTTAAAAATCTGAAATTTGAAATGCTCTGAAATTTGAAATTTTTTTGTGTCATCTTGGTGCTCTAGAAGTTTTGAATTTAGGAGCATTTCGAACATCAAATTTTCAACCTATATTTTTAAAAATGACTGTATGCTTAAAACGTCCAAAGCAAAGACCATCTTCCTGATAAATCTGATACCCTTTTGTAATCCCTGTTTCAGTCAGTGATCACTGCCCGGTAAACAGAGACATGGGAGTCATCCCTCACTTCTTGGTCACCACATACATGGTGAATATTTTACACTGTAGGTATAACTGGTATTATCCAAACCTATTCTCAGTGTGTGCCTATAAGGCAGGTAAGGCCCCTGG